TCGCCCCGCTGTCGCAATACCCATCGGCTGTTCCGGTACATATAGTGATATAGAATGTCGGTGTAGAGATATTGTCTGATTATTTTTTACGACAGTTTGCACTATTTTTTCTGTTTTTACTTTTTTTAGAACATGCACAATACCGAAGTGCTTTTTTAAGAACTGTACACGGAGCCAGGAACATTTTGCAGACTCTCGTAGGTCCGATCAATAAATAAGGCTTTGCCGCGGTATACAATCAGCTGATCATCTACAACACAGACAAAACCACCAGGATTTAACAATTGTGTTTTTTGCACCAAAAACTTTTCAGTCGGTGTATTGTCAGAATCTGGATACATGATGCATCGACTTCTTAACTTATTTATAGTTTTATTTCTTCCAGAAAAATGAATGTTAGTCAATGATGAGAACATACAAACTGTTCACCAAAACATCTGTTTGATTGTGATATTATGTTCTGTTACATTGACCAAAAACTCACTTTTACATCCATTTCTTTATATTTAATTCTTTTTCTGGTAAATCATCAAAATATACTGTGAATGCTATCATAATTTGCAACAATGTTGAGGACATCAAACAAAAGTTAAAAGTGCAGATATGTTATTTATTTCATGCATTTTGATTAGACGTGGTGGAGTTCATAAAAACAGCCAACCAAATAATAGTAGGGGTTGAATAAATAAAAATAGGATGAAAATATTGTTTGTAAGTGATGACTAAGTGCATCTCAGAAAGAATGAGTTGTACAACAACTTTAAACTCTTCATCCAATGTGAATACATGAAACAAAGATTTTTAATTTTTCTCAAAGGGTCAAATAATTTATTTCTCAGAACTGACTTTTCAACTTCCAAGTTGTCTTTTTATTTAGATGAATGATGAGCAAGCACACTCTCTGAAACGTATATGAACTACGTAAATACAACAAATACTCACATTCCTGTCTTAGTAATAAATAAATATTCGCTTGTGAAAGATGCTTTTTCCGGATAAGCTGTGTACTACACACAAACAATTTTAATAAACCGAAACCACAACTATCATATAAAATCGGAATCATTAGAGATATCTACAAAGTCTGTATAATAATAATTCGTATACGCTTCTATCTGATCGTGCAGTTTCTTAGATGACGGATCATTATTACCTTTTATTTTGCTCAGCTTTTGTTCCAACTCGGAAAATTTCTGCTGCAACTTTTGTGTCTTTTCTCGCATCCTTCTGAACGTGTCGGTTGTTGAGTCTGAATCGGTTGACATATCTTTGTTTTTATTTGTCGACAGGCCGATATCTAAGCCCGTTTTATAGGCCGGATCATTCTTACTTGTTTTATTCGTATTACCTTTTCTGGTATCAATTACATTATTAGTTTTCTCAATTTGAGAAGCAATCCTTTTTTCATTCTCTAATACCGGTGGTACCAAAGTCTTTCGATCACCATACATTTGATGCCTTACATTTTTTGCATTAGTCATTGCATCCATCAAGTTATACCTTTCTTCGCTGTTGTGCCCATTTTCACCTACATCATTTAACTTTCCATTTTTTGACTCGCCAATTGCGTTATCTTGATTATTCACTGCTTCATTCTGGCTAGGCACATCAAAAAACTCATCCTGGTGCTTTTCCTCGGTACTAATGCCCAGTTTGTCCATTTTATCCGCCAATGCCACTGCATTTGTCCTAGTACTTGGCTTAAACGTAGTGGTGATCTTGTCCCATATACTTTCAACTGCATTTTTATTTTTGGCGTAGATCGTTGATCTGTCCACCTCGTCCTTAGCATCGTAAAACACCGTTTTTTGTGATTTTTTGTGTGCATCTTCCTCTATCCTCATGTTTTTCTGCCTCTCAGCCTCTTCAAAAAATCTCGTCCATTCATCCTTAAACGATTCCCTCATCACAGGTTTGACTGTATGCTGGGTGTCCTCCACAACATTTTTAAACGGTTCTCTCATCACATGCTTGGCAGTTTGCTGAGTACTCTCCGTGAAGTCTTTGAACTCATCTTCAACAGTATTTTCAAATTTGTGATTGTCTCGTGTTTTTGGTTCATTATTAACAATCCAATCCTCATTTAAGTCGCGATCACTCTTATTGTTGACACTCCCACGGTTAACAGGATCTTCATACCTTTTACCCATCCCTGACCACTTATCCTCTGTCTTCTTTTTCATTTTCTTACTCTCCAACTGTATTATCTTGCTCTGATACTCCAAGTTCCTGTCCATTAGCTCCTTCATTTTGCCCAACAACTCTTCGGCTACGTTCTTTCTCTTAGAAATAGTACCGTCATTGAATCGCCTGAGATCAAGAAATTCGCTCTGAAGCTTGTGAAACTGCTCATCAGCATTGCTGAGGTTGCCCTTCAATGCTGCTATTTGATCATTTTGCGTGTTAAAAAGCCTTTTATATTTTTTCAACCGTTTTCTATATTTGTGCATTCTGTCATGTAACTGCTTCTTTGCAACTGTTTCGTCATGTCCCTTTCTATCTTTTTGCACTTCTGTCATCTTTTCCTTCTCGCCAGTGCCAAAACTATGAAATGATTCGTCGCTCCTCTCAAGATCCACAATCTCACTGTTATTGATGAACTTCGTGAGTTGCGCGTTCAGATACTCATTCTGCTCATTTATTGATTTATATAACCTTTCATAATAGCTGCTTTTCTCATTAAGGTTCTTTATTTCCTCTTTCATTCTTTTTTCCATGGCCAGCAGCTTGGCAAGCTCTGAGTTACACATCTCAAGTGCTTTTCCCTTTTCTTCAAGAATCTTTTTATGCTCATTCAGTGATCTTTCCATTTCAAGCACTTGTGATTCAAATGATTTCTCAGTTTCTTCTTTATGTTGTTCATACTGCTTGAGCGCTGCGATATGAGAATTGCATTCTTTGATACGATCTGATAACACACTTGTTTCCTTGGTCAGTACTTCTATTTTAGCCAACGCCTTCCTACGCAGACTATCTAACTCTTCATTGATAACCTTCATATTTTGTACATTCTTCCTCTCAAGCTCGTACTTTTCTTTGTACGCACTTATCCGGCCCTTTTGATCTTGAACCAGCCGCAACAACTCGTTGTTCGCGCTTGAGCAGTACTTCAGGTCATCCATGAGCTTCATAATCTTTCTCTTCTGATCAAATTGTTCCTTTAGCAGCTCGTTCATCCTTGTCCTCGCATTTTTCTCGTTTTGCACGCTATCGTTTCTTTCTGCACTTATCTCCCTGAGCACCTTCATCATACTTTCGCACACCAATGAACTGTTGATATTCTCCCTGAGTAGCTCGTTCTGCAGCTTGTCGTGTTCTGACGAACTGAGATACATGTGTATTTTGGAGTAAAGCTTTTCGTTACGTTCCAAAACTTCGATCAGTTTCTGCACATTACCAGCCTCCTGGTAATCCTCACCAGTTTTTCCATGCACGCACTCTCCAAGAGTATCACCACTCTTTTTCACCTGTGGATCTTCATCATGCTGCTTGTATTCTTTGGTATAATCGAGTAATTCTTTGATTTTGTTGTTCACGTCCTTTTCAGCGTCCATTTTATGTTAAAACACAGGGGGCCTGCTTTTTATCCGTAATTGAGAAATTTTTGCCTTCCAACCCAGGTACCAAGAGAACTGCCAAAAATCTGGCACATAATCCATTATTCACACATAATTGTGATATCTCTCTATTTTGTCTGATTCTAGAGATGATAAATTAAGCTTGATGATATGTGCGCATACATCATAAAGGCAACATCGATAAATAAATCTAATTAGTTAAGATTGTTGAGGAGCTTGTCTTTGTATCCATTAAAACCACACTTCTATCCTTTAATTTTATCTGGCGTTCCAAATGTTGTAACAAAGCATATATTGCAATGTAAGTATGAAATGCAGACCTCAAAAATGCTTTGATCGCAACAAATATGCAGGATTTGTGCAAATAGCTGATTAATATAAATAATTTAGTTGAATTTCTCATAAAAAGCGTTTAAAATTGCGATTGTGAGCAAACATTTTATTTAATGTTGACATGAAAGAGTCATGATTTATAAATATACTTTTCCATGCGCAAGAGAACAATGGAATCAACGCAGAGTATAAGAGAATCGGAATTCTAAGGCGAATAGTGAGGTTATACATGTTACTATCGTACCTCCAATTTTCTGGTGTATAAAACTAGGCTTATGGCGAAATACCGTGCACAAACTGTATACAATACATTTGTTTATCCGGGTTATTCCTTGCACCTAAAAATTTTAAATTACGGTACGAATGGTTTGTGTTGCACTTCTATCAACGGATGAAAATGCTGATGAACCACATTGTATTGAAAAAACACCTCTAAATTCACGATATAACGCTATGTGTGATGCATATCCCGCCGGTAACCGTATCTAGGAATACTTTGGACTTAAATCTTCGCCTCTTTTAATGTTCAAAAAGTTCAATTTTTTGTTACTAAAGCACCAAAACCCTTGCCTCACGTATTTAGCAATCAAATGCTTCTCAACACTCACCAAATACGGTTGTAATTATGGAAGCTTGGATCATTTGCTGTTCACACAGAATATGTGCAAAAAAATAATATGAGGTACGATGTGTCTTCTCAAAAATGCTGATAACAAATCATACCGCATGTCATACGATGCTACCACAGATTAACATGTGTTTCTACACTTGTATTATTCTTTGAACCTTGGTAATAGTTCTTGTATATGTGCAAACGCGTATATATACGGGTTTACTTCTATATTTGGCTGTGCTTATTCGTAAATATCTCTATTTTAGCTGTTTAGTTCATTAGATATTCCTCCCATCCCCCTGAGAATTATTTCGTTGTCACGAGGCCCGCAAGAGACTGCTTCAAACGCAACAACACTGCATGAACCACTACTTTGTGCCAGAAGTCCATCGTGATAATGCATCCGGTTGCAAATCAGCCAAAATGAGTTAAATGTTTGAGAGTGTTCTTCAAGCCGTCATTTCACTTTGTATTCGACAGCCCCACGATGCCAAAAAAAATTGTACTCGCAAGGAACATCGGAATAGAAGATTTGAAAAGCATCAGCAGATTGATAAATGCTATTAAAAACGATAAAACTTGTGATATCATACGCTTTGAAGATCCATCATGCTATATAACTCTTCTTAAACAGATGTTTTTCTTTCTTGGTGCGAAGAAATACGATGAGCACCGAAATACGGCACTGTTAAGAACATTTGAGACGTGCAAAACGAATCTTGATGATGTTAAATCAGAAATGCTACGTTTTATAAATGAGAAGAAGGTGTTTTTCATTCTGAAAGCAATTTCAAAGAACGTACGCGACAAAAAGTACTTTTATGAGAACTTGGCTCAGCACAAGATTGACATTCTATCTAGTGTTGAGGATGTGGCTGAGGTAGAATTTTTACGCTCCATAAAATGGGCTGAGCTGGACTATCTGTGCGTTATGGACAGGTTGGTGCGAGATGTTGAATTTATTGTGGACTTTATCTGCAGTGATGACGAAAAAGTGCAGGAAAAGGCGCTGAGCATGTTAGCAGTACGTGTGAAGCACCGAAAAAACGATTTTAATAGGAAATTTTGGTTAAAAATTAATAGAAAAGTGCTCAGAGTGCTTTACTCACGAGGTAACTTGGATAATATCTGCCTTCTAGCCTTGGAAGCATTGTGCTACAGGCAACTGTCTGATGAGGACCAGGAGCGAACGCAAAATTTGTTTCACCTAAACCCTTTGAAATTCCTTACACGAATTCCTTTGCAATCCAAAATAACCAAGGAGATACTACTTGAGTTACTGAAAGTAAGGGATTGGTCCGTGAAGACTTACGATAACGCCACTATAGAAAGCCTAATTTACAGCAATATGAATTTGTTGTGTGAAGAAGATGTGTTTTATATCATTGAAATGCCTTTCACTGAATACCTGAAAGACTTCTTTATCCAATTAAACATCATGAACTATAAAATATTTGTAGGCTTATGCATACGGGTAGCGAATGAAGCACAGTTCACCAATTGTGCATTTTACCTGGAATGCATGAGAATGTACAAGAAATGTGGGGTTATGGACGAATGGAGAAGCAATAAAAAAATGGAAAAGTTGCTGCTTAGGGCTTATCCGCTAGTGATGAGCGATAGAGAATGGTATTTCCGATTGTTAGAGAAAATGGAGAAGGAGTGGAAAGGAGAGTGTATGCTCATAAGGAAGTACTTCAGACTCGAATGAACATATCCGAGCAGGGTAACCGAGAACGCTGGTACAAAAATTCAGGCAGCTTTATTATAGTGCAAACAATCCGTGCTATGCGCAGTCGATAGACCTGCCAAAAACAATCGGCTGCTGATCAGCATTGAATACAGGCGCTATGGATTTCAATTTTCATTTAAATTTTCATTTTTTAGCCATAGAACTTTGTTTAAGCAAAATACGTTATTTGATGTTGGTACTCAAAGATAAAAATTTCAACTAAAATACCATAATTTTCGACAAATATACTGTTTTGGTTATGTCTCTCATGCGATCCCACAGTTTATTGAGTGCATATCAGAACTATTTCTGGTCGCCATGGGAGGTTAAAAACCTTTGCAGCTTGTTATCATATTCGTTCAGAAGATCATTTTATAGTGGAGTTTAGCATCAACAACGAGCACATCTATATTTCCTTCAAAATGTTGTGATTACTACCTTCCAGCGCTAAACTGACAAACATAAAGAGCGTTGCAACGAGAATATTTGTTTTTTTACCAAAGTGCATCTTTTATCACTCCATACATCACTAAACTACGGGAGTTATCCACTCAAACGAATTTTTCGCTCTTCATCAAATCTACTTTTGCAGGTTTTATATCCAACAAAATGACAGACCAGTATCGAATCCTGGCTCGTTTTATTGGATGATGAATGTACAAAAATTGATAAATATATATTAAATAGCCTGTTACCACACCATTAAGCTTTTAATTACGTTATTCTGAGAGTATTTTCTGAATACAATCTAAATCAGTAGTCAATTTGTTGTAATCATGGTCATGGTGATAGAATATGTAATTAAAAGATATCGAATTGGGATTCTTCATGATTGTGTGTTGATGATAGCATTTGACAGTGGTTAGCAGATTATCGAGAAAGTTAGTGTATGAACGGATGAGTTTTTCGTATTCAAAGTATGCCGATTTGTCGTTACTAAATAATTTGTCTATGAAAATGATGCATCGCTGGATCAATTCGAGGTATATGTCTAATTTTCTCCTGTAATGTTCGTTAAACATCATCTTAGCCCTACTATTTAGCATACTATCCAATCTAGCGGCACCAATCTTTAGCGCACTAAATTTTTTGTGAGGGAAAAGTTCGTTTGGATGGATGTAATCACGGTGTGGCGCGACCAAGTACTTATTTTTTATGTAGGCCTCTCGTTCTTCTCTTCTGTGCGCCCGTTTTTGGTGATTTGATGATGCAGAAGGATCTGATTTTGATCTGCGCAGGTGCTTATGGTGATTCGTCCGTGATTGACTAGCATCGTGAGATTCCGATTCATCTTGATTAGATGATTTCAAGGATGCTTGGCGGTGTAACTTTCTGAACATTGAGGTTTCATCATTGCTCGGATTCTCATCTTCGCTATTCTGTGTTTTGTGCGATGTGATGTCATGTTTTCGGACTCGTTCTGATTTTCTGGTGTAATTGCTTGTGCTGCTCCTAGAAAGCGTTTCTTTTGAACGAGAACCAGAACTTTGCGCTTCCCATGTTTTATTTCCTTGGCCTTGTGTGAATTTGCTGGGTGATCTTGGTCTTCCAACGGTTACATTATCACGCTGGAATATCTGCTTAAGCCGAGCGTAAGTCGCTCTAATCCTCGTGAACGACGATTTCTTGTGTAATTTATTAGAGCGCGTTTCAAATTTTTTCTCGTTTGTTGATTTTTTAGCCGTTAAATCATTTTCACTGGAACTTTCTTCAGATTGTGGTTCATCCTTGGCCATTCGCGTAACAGGTGCACTTGAAATATTAATACTCTGTATCAATGGAGCGTCACTACTATAATTACCTGTTTTATTGGCTGTGAGCTGCTGCGTTTTGTCATCTGTTTGTATTTTAGCCAAGTTTGCCGAGAGCGTAACAACCAGAAAATTCACCATAGAGAAAATATTTCCAAGCATGAGCATATTTTTGTACACGGATTAGTCATTTTGTGATAATTTATACTCCGTAATCCTGCCATATATGTCTAATCATGAGATATCACCATTAGAAGAAAAAAGCATGTCCGATGTTAACTTCGTGCTATTTCGGAGGATCACAAAGCGAAGCTGATGATCAAGCATAGCGATAGTTAATCGTGTATACCTGCAATAATTCCAACCATTTATTTGTATAGGAATGTAGAAAATTTTACACGGTAAATTTCGGTTCTTATGTCGTATTCCGATGATTTTAGGACCGTAGCCATCCAAACACAATATTCTAAGGCGAAACTTTTCCTCTGTTGCGATACGATTCCGTGAATCATTGTTATATTGTCACGCACCCTTATATATGTTGTTGTACTAATGTTACGCTACTATTTAAGTTTTTTAATGATCAATGAAGTTGGACACATAGTAATATTTTAAGTACCTGACTTGTGCTATTGGAGCTAATATTAAGTTTTTAGCACAAAAATAGCCAATATTATGCTTTTAAATGCGTTTCAGAGTATTTCCAGCCTATTAAATTAAAATTAATTAAAATAATAACATTTTGGGCAAAAATACTACAAAGTGATATTTTTCGCTCACCCGACATAAATATACCGGCAAACTTACTATACCACCTATTTTTATTGAAGACTCTAGTCAGAACCGGATATATACCAATGACTATCAATTTTATAGAAAATTGAGCAGATAATTTGCTATTGCTGTCTATATAATCTGTTGTTACCGATGTTCTGGCTAAGGAACGTTCATATTAAAATATTTTAATAATAAAGCTTTTTTGATGCTCATCCAATCTCAGTGATAAATCAGAAAGTAAAAAATAAGCTACTAAAAAACTAAAATGTTTCAGATCTATCTCCGCAACTGATAGCAAAATATACCAGTTCTATGTAGCAAACCTAAAACACGTTAGTTCATCTATTTCCCTTGAAAGTCTGTTTAAATATCACTCCATAATCATGTCACCACTTTATATGGTCTGAACAACTACGGTCTGTCACTTTTCACCTTGGTAGGTGAAAAGGTGCGACCATAACTTCCTGTGCAGCTCACTTCATTCAATTATAGAGATAAACAATGTTGTCATCGCTAAGAAGGTACAGCCACGGTAATTCATCATCAAAGTATGCCTTTCTGTACCTACCCGGGATCCTTTTTACTACCTTAACCCTAATATCGTTTGAAGTGCGCTGTATTGCACCACTTTTCCTCACATTTTCGTATTTGTACACGATGGTCTCGTCCTTAAGACCGACACAGAAATAGTTCAAGGTGTTGTGCATCTCCAAAAATTCAACAATATCGCCACAATGAAACCTTTTTTCAGTCAGTTCCCTGTCAACGTACAATAACAGAAATATGTCACCGTTAATATCATTTAGCACGGCCAAAAGGCCATTTTCATACGTTCTGCATGCCAGAGCACTGAACATTGTGCCTTTGTTATACTTCACGACGACTTTATCCCATTTGTAAAGATGGAACATGTTTGTGGAGGTTATCAGAACGTAGTCCTTGACCATTCTCAGGGTGCAAATTCTCTGTCTGAACCTACGTATCATTATGTTGTCGACAAACAGTGAATTATCCTCTGTGTACACCATCCGACAGCCCAGACTATCACATAGTGCTTCGATGGAACTGTCGGCATCACTGCAGACATTTTGCTCCTTGCACGTCTCCATGTTATCCTCAGCTCCTCTTTCACCTGCTGTTTTGCAGGTGGATTCGCCATCTCTCGGCAAAACATCAAAGTTCTCTACTCCGCCGACCAACCTACCACTTTCACCACTTGCCATGTGCAGCCATTTAATAACTGCATCTTCTTCATGGAATAGCACATTTTTGTAGATCTTCAGTATCTTAGCGCAGCTATGAAATTTGTAAATCGGCTTAAAGCTGTAAATATCGTAAACTAATAGATGATTGGTGTTATATACGATAAGATCACGGACGGTCGGAAGAAAACTGCTCGCGGTCCACGCTGTAGCATCATCCGTTTGATCGTGTTCAATTTTGTACACCAGTGCCAAATTTAAATCCAACACTTCCTTTTCATGTACATCAGGCAGCTTAATCCTTTTGTTCGCCAGCAGATATTTTTCATCCCTCTGCTTTACAATCTCATCCAAATCTTTCTCTTCAAAGACACTATCATCGGGTATAGCATTCACTTTGACCGTATGCTCCTCCAAGCGCGCATCTCGCCATATGACATCAACGATTTCGTTGAGATCGAGGCGCTTGTATCGTTTGCCGGCCCTAATTTTGGTGCGATTCGCACTTATACGCTTTGTGTCCGCGCCTTTTCGTTTGCCCGCCTTTAAGTCCGCTGTCGGCTTCGCTCTGACAGACGAGTACTTAAAAGATCCCTTGCTACACAGATTTATTTTCATCAAGCACTTGTTACTCTGCGCCTGTCTCACCAGTTTTACATCCTTGTACGTGTATGCTACTTCCTTCTTGTTGTAAAAAAAAGTGCGTTCCTTCTTCTTGGGCCGTATCCGCAAGAATTTTCTGATGTGCTCCATGAGGGGTATGTGTATGGAACGTAAAATTTTATGAACATGTGGACGATGATTTGCGTGTGCATCACAGCGTTTATCCCTATAACGATATGGATGGTCGATCAAAACGTGTACAATCAAAATGGCAGCAAAATAGTGATGTACTGCTATAAAAGCGAGTCAAAACAAGAAAAAGTTAATGTGCGTGGTGATATCAACCATGGACAGAAGGAAAGATAGAAGGATCTGAACTGGTAAGCGAATGTAAAGATTGTGGAAGGAATTGCGAACGACTTTTTACCATTAACGGAGTTATTGTTGCAAAGAAAGTGGTTGAGGACTGAATGAGGGGTTGACTGAATAAACCAGAGGATAGAAAGTTGGGGAACGGGTGGAATTAACCGGCTGGAAATATAAATTTGAGAAATGAAGGAAACGAATCAGGTGAAATAAACCAGAGGATACAAAGTTGAGAAGTAAAGGAAACGAATCAGGTGAAATAAACAGTAATTCTAACCCTTAATCATGTACTGTTTGATCAACGAACAAAGCACACGATAGATTCAGTGTGCTGTTCTTCCCTAAATAAAAATTTATGGCTAAGATTAAAAATGAGGGTTGCTGCCCCCCTGCCATGGCCAACGAGGATTTAATAAACCAGAAAATAAGGGAGCAAGACGACCACACACTCTCAACACTATTCACGCCTAACCATCTCATCCACCTGATCGATCCGTCGGCTCTCATTCCCCCATTCGATACGTTGCTGCTCCTTCAAAAGCAGGATACGCACACATTTGCGCACCACAAGGAGCAGATAGAATGTGCGAGAACACTTGGCGATAATTACGTGTCCGTTAAAAGACGGGTGATCGGCAACATCCGGTTTTGCAGGGAGAACGTGGAATGTGTGAAGTATTTGCTGGTGCTTTTCAACAAAAACGTATGTCAGGCAGTGGTTGGCAATCTCATACTGCTGTTTTACATGCGGATGCGCAGTTTCAAGATGATGAGCAATTTGGTGGCAGTTATTGATGAGCGTGGCATTCTCAGGCGCGGTGATGACGAAACAGCACGCACAAGCGCTAAACGTGGAGCGAGAAGCGGCGCCGATCCGGTGCAGGTGCCGTACGATGTGAGCACAGCGGTTACGTTCAAGGACACGCTCATCTTTAACGCATTTAAGGCGACTGTTCTGTTCAAGACGTACAAATTCAGCGAGTCGGAGAAGTACCTGAAAATGCTTCTGAATTACCGAAGCATACAGCGCAATAAGAGCGTGTACAGTCAGCTGAAATGCATGTTGTGCGTTACTCTCTTTGTGAAGGACATGAACGTGTGCTGTGATGACCACGAGATCAACGCCCTGATGTGCATGGTGCGTAAGTGCAGGTTGCGAGATATTGCGCGCAGTAATGACCGTATTGTTGGCACGTACTTTTATTTTTTGGCTGTGCGTAATTTGATACGGTTTTGCTACCAAGAGTACGGCACGCACCACAAATTGGAAATGCGATGGCTCAGAAGTGCGTTTGTGCTCAACGGTGTGGCTGAGGATGAGTGCATTTTTTTGATCATGCAGACGATCTGCAAAGGGTACGTGAAGGGGTACGTGAGCGTGGGTAGGGATGTGGTAGTTTTTAGCAAAGTTGATCCCTTTCCACACGTCGTTGTGTAAAGGGTGCTCGTGCGGTTTCTGTTCTTTTGTACGGCTGCGGGGCGTGCCATCCACCGGTGTGGCAGGGTGCTGTGCAATGTCAGATGCATTCATCGTACGCCATGGTCGCTACTCCTACGTTTTATACACCGGTAATGGCCCTGCTTGTGCAGTATTGACGTATTTCGTAGCAACGGATGTATCTGCATGTGAAGAACGATTAACTGCCATATATTCATCATGTCTGCACGTCCTCTACCCCTGTGATAGTTCTGCACTCCGCTGTCCCCGCCATATATTTCGTTGTGCACTGTTCAGAATGTCTCATTCTCAAATCGTTCTTCCGGTTTTACCCTTTCCCATTTTTGTAGGAGTACGGCACACAAGCACTCAGTTCATACGCTACAATCCATCAATAAAATACCGTTTGTTGCCCTTTGCGCATTTTAGTGCCCTGCGATTCCTTGTTCTCTACCGGTACGTGCTGCCATGCCGATCACAAATTATTCGTGCTGGCAGGTCGCATGCACGTATATGCAATGATACGGGCAATACGTCATGCACGATTTGCACACTGCTCCGTTACACAGCTTTGGTAAGCAAAACTGACAAATAGGACAGGTAAATACAAAATATCGTACAAAAGGTAAATTATCGAGGGATAGTACGAATCACAGATCGATGCTCGGATAGAAATGATAATAAATTATTGCCACAAGATATGTAACTAGCAATGGTTAAGACGAAAGATAGTATTTACCTTACATAATACGTGGTGATACGAGAAATGCTACCTATCACTGCTACAGTCTTAGTTTTTGGTGCAAAGCGGAAATAAATCATGAACAGAACCGTAATTGCTGGTATAAGAAGTAAATTGGTTAAAAGCTTTGTGTTAATAAAATGTATTAAAACGGTATCAGAAAAGGGGAACAGAGATACGTGGGAGTAAGGACTTAAATAAAAGTATTTACCACCAATATTTGAAGTTAATACGCACTGTTTTATTAATTATCAATCTAGCGGATCGGACAAGTATATTTGCTTGGGTGTTGCTGATGTGAACGGGGTAATAAACGCTATTTGAATGACAAAACCAGCTGATGCGTAAAAAGATACGGAACTGGATTAGAAATTGATTCTTTGCCACATAACAAAGTAAAGTAATGTGCTATCTACTTGAACAGTGCGGATGGTTGACCTATCCGTTTATGACTAAGGAAGGTGGCAAGAAATAAGTTAAAATGGCTGTATAGAGGATAACTAAGGTACCATTGCTGTTGTTGTACGCATATAACATATTTCTGTTGTAGTACTTCACTTGTTTAACAAACAAGTAAAGTACAGGCAAATTGCTCTTTTCACAATTTTAAATTGCACGGTCAGTTCATAATTAAAATATTATTCGGTGCTTTAGCACTGCTCACTCGTGATAAACCGCTATCGTTCGTAAAAGTCCTTCTCAGTGCGATAAGGAGATGTTAAGAATCTAACCTTACATCACGTACAAGCAATGTTACGATTTATGGCAAAGGTATTTGAATAGTGCGTTAAATATACGTATAAAATACTTTAACAGCAGCGCTATTTGATGATAGTGTAGTATTTAACATAAAATAGAGGATTTAATCACCATGAATGGTTACTTAAGAAGGATGAGATCGTATTTTCAGCATGAAATGGATTACCTGTCAAGAATAATCTTGATCACTAGATGGAAATTAAGAAGAACTGGAACAAGCTATGATCTTTAAAACACATTACTACGTCCTTAACAACCATAAATAAGCAGCAATTTTAATATGCTTACTACACCTATCAAATGCTCTGCTCACTGCGATACAAAGAAGTACTTTTAATAAAAAAATATGTCATAACCAATTTTTACCACATTTAGTTCATATTCTTGCAAGTAACAGGTTAAATAAATGAGTACAGAAAATACAAAGCATTTACTAAAGGGTCCTTTAGCTTGAGTGACTCAGGGTCAATGCCAATTTTTATATCACTCATCAAGGAATGCAAAATAAGTCAAATGAGCTTAAAATAAAGCAAAATGATGTTTTAAAGAGAAGAATGTTATGATGCAAAAAAGTTTAGTTTTATGAATGTAAATGGCATAGCTAGTTTTTAAAAGCATTTTTATAGTAGTTATACACAGAATATGCTGTACTACGGTGTCTTTCTGTTCTTCTACCAGTTTTACTACCACGCAATTTCTTACCCAATTGCTTTCATCGAACGGTAGCTCTCATATTTTGCGTGCTTCATTTAATAAACAGAATTATTCATTGTTGATGCGTAAAGAGCGTGGTATGGCACTTAAAATGGACATATCGATTCGGTACAAGGTTTTTGCTCCTAAATGGCAAAAAAACACACAAATTTTTATTGCACGAATCCATAGCACCACCATTAACAAAGAACAGGTCCATATGTGCAGTTCAAATAGTACAAAATTAGAGATAATGCATGAATGAGAAGAAAAGGAAAAAGAACGACAAGGATTCATCGAGGAGCGCAACAAGCCGTGAGAAGAGCACTCCTCATAAAATGATGAGCTTGGATAGCATAAACCACCATAAGCTGAGCTGGTAAAAATATGGATGATAGCATCGATACAAATTCTTAGGAAGCAATTATTGCTCATGAGGAACAACTCAAACGATATTAACATAAAGGGATCATCCTGCACCACCAGTCACGCAGCCAAACACTTACAACCATTTGCAGACACCGTAAACAAAAGCATAATTTATTCAAATGCCGGCTTCGAGCCAACCAAAGGAAGTCCCTCACCGGCAGTGACCATGTCGAAAACATGCAGCATGCAAGCACACTGCAATGCTTGAGCACAGCACCAGTCCCAATAAATGCGTTTGTCTTTCAAGAAAGACAATGCCAGTTCTTACACTGACAGAAACAGATACTACACTTGATCAAAGCCGTATGGCTTGAGAGGTAGGGGTAAGAATTTGGTTTGCTTTTGTGTGGATTGGAATGAAAGAAAGGAATTGGAAAGAAAGAAAGGAATTGGAAAGAAAGAAAGGAATTGGAGAGAAAGAAAGAAAGGAATTGGAGAGAAAGAAAGAAAGGAATTGGAGAGAAAGAAAGAAAGGAATTGGAAGGAAAGAAATTGAAAAGAAGGAAAGAAATTGAAAAGAAGGAAAGGAATTGTAATGAAAGAAGTTGGAAAGAAAGGAGTTGAAAGGAAAGAAATTGAAAAGAAGGAAAGAAATTGAAAAGAAGGAAAGGAATTGGAAGGAAAAGGATTGTAATGAAAGGTAATTGGGTTAAAAGGACTAAACTGGCGGTCTAAACATAGGATTGAAATGTAGAGAATTAAGAAAAATAGAAATAATGGAAGACCAAGAATATGATATGATAGAGTACACCAAGGAAGACTTCAAAAATATAAGTACATGAACAAAGTAATAGAAGTATCCTAGCGGTACTAGGAATATACCTGTGGTATAGTACTGATTTAAAAAACGAAGAGAAAAATGATTGGTCAAGGACCAAAGCTATGCTTCCGCTGCAATAAGATGCGTGAATATCAAACAGAAGTGCATAGATTGGAACGTAAATGAACAAATATTTGTGTATGAATGAGGTATGCTATTGGCAGAGGAACTTTCCTAATACATGCAAAAGAATGTTGCTTCGTGCAAAGAAGTAACATAAAACGAACGGAATATTGAAGAGAGCCGATTTGCAAATCATAAGAAGGGCCGCACTCATAATGCAAGTTTTGAATGGTGCTCTTTACCATGGTAGTGCACGCGATGATCACATCAAAATAACGGCATCTACGCGTCATTAATATCGAATCACGGCTCAAACCGTGCTTATACAGAATTATGATCATCTTTGATCTAAAATCACGGTCAGCATCAGAAAAACCATCAAAACATGATGATCAACATCATCATCAACCATGGATAGCTCTGCGTTCCAATGCGTCGCCTTTCCCTGGAATGCAGAATGTCATCCATGCGGGGATAAAAACATGCCAAAAATTATGGCACCCCATGTTCATCGTATCGGTTGTTGCGCACGTTGACCACGGAAAGACCACCCTCCTCGATTCAATGCTGTCCTACGCACGCATCATATCACGGATGAGTGCTGGTCAGCTGCGCTACCTCGACACGCGAGACGACGAGCAGGAGCGCGGTATAACGCTCAAACTGTCGTTTTTTCAGGCACAAGACTTCATTTTCATCGATACGCCTGGCCACGTTGACTTTGAATCGCTGATAGAGTGCAGTGCGCGGTTGTGTGATCACTTTATTTTCATCGTAGATGTTAACGAGGGCATAACACCACGCACACTTTCTCTGCTCACATTGATGAGAGGTAAGCAGTGCGTGCTCGTGCTCAACAAAATTGATAAGCTGCTTGGTAGCATTGAGCTGGTGCCCGTAGTGCACAGCATCGTGCAGAGCATGAATGCCTGTTTAAATGAGCAGTGCTTTGAATGGAGCATGAACAACATCGTGGTGTGCAGTAGCACAGCATCGTATGGTGTAAATTATGGCATGTTTGGCAGGATCAAAGAGAACAGCACGCTAAAAGACGTGTTAATCTTTTTGTTTCTTATGAGTGTGGACGATACATGTGCACCTAGAGTATTGCATAGGAGAGCGAAATTGATGGAAATGCTTGACACTATAGGAATAAATGAACGGGAACTAAGGGACATTTGTCCTTTAGCGATTACGCTTTTTGATTCATTACGGTCTTTGAGTTATTCTGGATTGATAACAGACGAACCGGATGATCACGGTTTAGCAGGAGAACACGGCGAGAAAAGGGAAGAGGAAGATAGAAAAATGGGAGATGACGAAGTCAGGAGTCGAGCAGAGAAAAAGGAGGAAGATGACCCGAAGGCGAATAAGGGTATTACTGGGAACATAGAAGGGAAAGAGAACATTGCTAAGAACGTAGAACAGACAACCCAAGGGGGTGTAAACACTCGTAAGGAATGGATCAAAGATAACAAATATGCTGATAAGGAGGATACGGAGTGCCTGAACGGTGATGAGAGCGGCGTCTTTACAGCCGATCACCATGCATTTTTATGCACTATTCTACCAGCAGAGGCGATGTGCGCAGTCATAGGCATTACTACGTATGCAATGGTATACGAACACACGGTGTTGTTCATTACACGGCTATTTACACATGTGGAGCAGGGCATGGTGCTGTTCAGCAATTCACAGGGAACAAGTAAACGGTCCACAATCACTAAAATATACGAGTTTAGCAACAACCGGCTGATAGAGTCGAAGAGCGCGAAAGCTCCAAACCTGGTGGCCATACAAAGCGACTTTCTCAGAAACAGCATTCTTAGTACGTCTGCGCTCGATGTGCATGAGAATGTGCTCAAAACACGGCCATTCTACATAAAAAAAATAAAACCGTGGTCAGACATGAAAGAGCGTATAAAACAGCTTTCATACTGTGAACCGATACTAAAGGCGAAGATTAATAGGTACGGTGAGGTTGAGCTATTGTGCGAGGGACACATGCATTTTGAGAAGATCGCACACGATCTGAAATACGAATTCGATGAAATTATATTTTATGATTTGATGTGTGAGGGATGTGGAGATGTGAGTACGTATTGCACGGTTGTAGACGGACTTAGTGTTTGTTTGATTGTTGGACCGAGTGAGGAACGGGACAATGAGGTATGTGTGGAGTACAAGGAAGGATTAGGTAGTGATGAGGATTGTGATGAAAACGGTGGTATAAACACGAATGGTGAAGAGGTAACCACAGCTGGTAGTGAAAATACGAACGGTGAAGAGGTAACCACAGCTGGTAGTGAAAATATGAACGGTGATACAGGCATGGACAGTATGAATAGGGACACAAGCAGTGGATACAAAACGTATATTGATCAGATTCCTCTGATCGACGCGCTAAACCACAAATTGCGAATTAATGATGACGAAACGCACCTGTCAATGGCACATGCCTTGAAAAGCGAAATGAAGAACGTAGTCAACGTGTTCACCAAGAAAGGGCCATTACTGCACGAGAAAGTGTCTTTTACATCGTTCCGCATCTGTATCACCCGTAAGGGTGCTCATCGCGCCAGATCCTCCGATCTTTTCGCCAAGTTTCTAAGGGCCCTTATCGATGCGTATGAAAGCACACTGCCAATCCCAATCGTGTTTTACTACCGTTGCAAGCTGCACATCACCGAGCAATACGTAGGCAAGTGCTACAAACTGCTCAACAAGTACCATTTTAAGATGCTGTCCAACGAGTACGACGAGACCAACTGCTTCTTCATCATTAAGTTTCACATCCGCAGGTACTTATACAACGATTTTAACGATGAGTTGAAGAGCATGACCAAAGGAACATTTTACGTGCATACGTGGGAGGAAGGATACGTAAGGTATGTGGATGACTGGGAAAGTGTTGTTGTGGATGAAAGAAGAAGAAAGGGTATTTGTGCAGAAGAGGTTATTGTAAGTGAGCCTGAGAAACAAAGGACTCTGAAGAAGTAGGGTATAATGATAGCGGTAGTAGAAATAGAGCATAGTAACAGTACGGTGGCGTATTACGACAATAACCGCAACGCTGATCGATAACAGCCACAATTTTAGTAACATTACTGTTACCGCCCTGTCAAAGCCTTAATACTGCACTGTCCCACCGCCATGCTATCGCCCTTTTTCGCTTCGTACCGCAAGAACAGACACAATGCCAAACAAATAATATGAATGATACGAAAATAACACGTGCTGTCACTTCTAACGTGTCATTTCTTGGTCGTGCGTGTAAAACGGTGTAGCATTTATTTAATACTATGTGCCATGCTCACTCGTGCCTGAGCTTCTTCACCATTCCATCCAGGTACTCTGCAAGCGCTTCTCTACAATCAAAGTACTCCTCTATTTTCCTGATAACCTCCTCTCTACTATAACTATTTGTTGTTGGGCTGTTCGCAAGCTCTGCATTCTCAAACAACCTTCTCTCCACCCATACATTCTTGAGTTCCATTAGCTTGCCCTTAAGCACCGGATGCTTAGACATCTCAGCATTCGCATCATCAAAATTTGATACCACAAAACTTTTGATCTGCTCAAGAAGAAGCGCAAGGTCCTTCTCGTTCTTCTTTATTGTTTGGATGAGCTCGTTCGCAAGATAGAAAATGTTCAGCTTATGGTATGCATTGCTGTTCGCGTACTCCTGATCGAGAATGCGCACCATTCGTGTTGATTCGGCAGATGTAGTCTTCATGTACAGCGCCAAGGTCTTTATCTTCTCCTGGGTTGGTACTAACGTGCGTACCTCTCTTATGAATGTTTCTTGGGAGAACAGTGACATGGAAGGGTGCACAAATTTGTAAAATATTATGGGCTGCTGTACAAGAACGGGTACGTGCTTAGCAAGATACTTGGTAATAAGCAGTGTAAAAAGGGCTACCTGATGTAAGAAGAGGTAAGTAAACAATTTTTGGCGTAAACCAAGTCTAACAACATTTATAAACAGGATTATTAATGCGTTACATGGATTGAGAGCATTTCTAGGCACAAGCCGTAGGATTTACTGAGTTAAGGCGATTTTATGGCTGACAGAGTTGCAAAGGGTTGTATGATTAGCAATTCTGTTGAGTTTGAATTAGTTGACTGTTCCATTGCTGTTCATTCACGTAGATAAAAAGACAACTCGAAAGCTGATTGGTCAGTGAAGGAAATAAATTATTTGAGCCTTCGACAAAATAAAAAAATTTGTTTCACGTATTTGCACTGAACAAAGAGTCCAAAAATGTTTTGCAATTCATTTTTTCTGAGACGCATTTAGTCATCATTTACTTACAATACTAAAATCACATGACCAATGAATGGAAGTTAAGTTATTAACGCCTACCAAAGGTTTTAACAATGAAAAAACATAATACGACATATAGAAGAGAAAAACATCATTTAATGGGCATTGCAATTTTTTCCGTTTTATAACCGGAAGTAGCACAGCTAGTGTTACTATAAATTCATAACAGTATCGAATAATTTATTACACGGTTAATATTTCGTATACTAAGCCTTCTCAACGTTAATAACAAGGCCATTCTTAAGGTCCAGTAGCGCAGATCACAAACAAGCGTTCAGTACCAGCGTATGGTTGTGGTAAGTGGTACACTACCTCAATAGTATGAGCACCTTCTAAAAAGAATAATAATATTTACTGCTAAAATATTGTACAGCCTTAAATATTCTACATTGGTACAAAACCAGGTTATACTCTGTCCTAAGCCGAGTATAAGTTGTTTAAAAGTTTCTTCATTAATTTTTATCGCAGCAACCCAAAAAGGAATAGGTGTGATAATTAAATTTAGTACGCCATTTTTTCAATCAGTAATACAGAGCAGGAAAACAAATAAAATATTTGTACGTATGTATACAATTTGATAGACCGTACGTATTTTCATTCAAATTATTGCTTTTCATTTTTTTCTCTTCTTTTTTAAAATTTTAGTTAAATTCATTTGATTGTTACAGTACTCTCAAAATCCCTCATATATCATTGATTGTGATTCAAAATAATAAAAGTGTAATTTACTGCCGTGTTCACAGCCATTCAATACGCACGTACTAAAAAAAAGAGAAAATGCTCATCAATCAGTACAAGCATTGATTACTCTTTAAACACGAATTGTGTGTTTGCATACGAATGCTTTGCTCGATAGAGCACATTAACCTAAAATATGCAATATTTTTGTATATGGCTAATTAATACATCGTTGAAAGTATTTAAGCACCGCAAAAATGAATATAACAACTTATAATGGTACGTAACAGCACTTCACACGTTAATAGTAACACCGAAAAGAGTAAAGAAGAGGATAAACAGGGTACTGAGGAGTTAACACATGGTAATGAATCGCATACTCTCGGCACAGTGGCAGAAGACCGTATTGGAAGTACATCGGAAGTAGGACATGGTGTGACAAATCCGAATGAGCTGAATCATGAACCACAGACTAGCACGGAACGCAGTCTTTCCAAGAAGATCAAGTTTTACGCAGGATGTCGTAAAAAGGATGGCAGTGCCGAATGTAAGACATGGTTAAACGATGAGAAGGATATGTCTATTGATGTGGAATTATTTGGTATGGACTTAGAAGAAACTGAAAAAGATAAATACATGAGCAAAGGTTTTATCACTTTTATGGAACCAGAGTCCTCTGCGAAATCGAGTGGCGCAGAAATGTCCACAATGAAACTGAAATACGTAACTTATGGTAATTATATGAAATTTTCTAATGGTTATAATGGTAAATCGCCGTATCAACCATTAGGTTCTGGTAAGATAGTTGGTTTCAGGACGATCTGTTCTAAAAATAATTTTGGAATTGTGAATTGCGACACGTACGATGATTCTGTAAACCCTAATGATGACAAAATGGAGCTGGTTAAATTATCTTGCATCGATTCTAAAGATTATATACACTGTCAAGGTGTTTCGATTGTCAAAGGCATTGATTTTGGTCCAAAGAGGGAGCTTCCTCATGTTCCCATCCTCGCACCGATTGAACCTAGCACATGAACCAGTTTCGGGTAACGCTGCCCTCATTGTAGGAGTTTGTGCAGTTCCGTTTTTATTCCTTTTGGTTTTCCTTTTTGTTTGGTGTATCAGGAGACGAAAGAAAAAAAGAGGAAGCTACGTAGTGCATGGCAAAATGGTGGATACAACAAAAGTTAGCAGATTTAATTAAACGTTCAAGCCATTTTTATGTTCTGTTTTTGTTCAATTATCTTACCATGCTAAGATGCATAGTAAAGGCACTTTCATAATCAGCATTTCTACAAAAAACATTTTTACTTCGTACCACTACGCTACACAAACATATCAAACCACAATAAATAGCTTAGAAAGGATAAAATATGCTCCTTTAAGAAAATAAAACACACGCGATGTAAAACGGTTGGCCCGGGACTATCGTTTAAAGGACAGCGAGATAGATCTTTGCAACCGATGACCGATACCGTATCATACGTAGCGTTTGATAGAAATAACGACGAATACATCGTAGCTATTTTCATACGTGGTGACACTGTGCGAGCGCATCTCAACGGTATACTTTCGCTTAAACAAAATATTTGAGGTAGAAGACACGGAATGTGCCCTAAAAAGCAGCCTTTCACCAATGTAGATAACCACATATACCTCTGCATACCTTTACCATCCTGTCTTAACATAAACGTGGTAATACGGGCAAGAAAGGAAGACGATCGGTGTATACCATGGGATGAGACCGGTCATCACACGTAAGCACCCATCAAAATGCTTTTAATCAAATCTGTTCTATTTCCTGTGCAACCTACAGAGGTGGACTGTATGGCATGTTCACTGCTCGTCTCAGCAAGAAAAGTTCTTGAGGTGTTCCTGTGAGGGCCATGCAATTCACAGGTTGTGTGCTAAGATCACTACCACAGTTGTAGTACACCTTTCTGTTGTAGTGATGATGCAATAGGCGTTAACAAGCTTTCGCACTGATTTACCCGTGAACTAAAGACCGATGTCCATGGTCAGTCTTATTGGTCCATAAAAATGCGTGTGTTCAGATCGTGCGGTACAAGGAGATGAACAAACGTACTTCTGGTAAAAAGCGATTACTTACCCTTTCTCACCAAGCATCTCACCGCCACCAACAACAACACCAAAAATGTACCCCTCCATGCCAATACAGCTAGAACCGGTCCACAAGCCATTCGTACCTCGTCAATGCCGCCACTTCCTCACACCAATCAAATACAACGGCCGTTTTGTTTTTAAACGTGCCACAAACATTCCCGATTTCTTCGTTGATCAGGACTGTAAAAGATTCGTAAGAAGAATGGAGGAGAAGTTAAAACGCGGAGAGGGCACGTCTGATGGGTGCGGTGCTGAGAAGTGCACTCATAAGGAGTGTGGCTGTGCAAACAATAAAAATATCAAAAATACTATGAGTTCTGATATGTGCATGAACAAGAATGCAGGTTTAGATAGCGATCCGAGGAGCGAGAGCATAAACAAGATTGCTTGCTTAAATACTGGTAGTACGAACATAAACAATAATAAGGAGGAGGCTGTGTGTAAGAATAGCAATGGAATAGGAGATGAGGGCGTGGGAGATGAGAACTTGGGAGATGAGGGCGTGGGAGATGAGAACTTGGGAGATGAGGGTGTGGGAGATAACTTGGGAGATGAGGGTGTGGGAGATAACTTGGGAGATGAGGGTGTGGGAGATAACTTGGGAGATGAGGGTGTGGGAGATAACTTGGGAGATAAAGGCACTAATTACAGTAACGTAGAAGATAGCAGCATAAACAAAAACGGCATAAATAATCATTCTGATATTCACATTGGCATAAATAAGAAAAACAGTACGGGCACAAGCAGTGACTGTCAGTGTGGTGCGGTGGATAAGCGCATAAAACGAGGCATAGCACCGATGGATTACCGTGGGCACAACAAATCAAAACATGCACTGTGCACGAAGTGGTGCAGGAATGCTAAGCACAAGCACACCGATGATAGAAGACGCGTGCTCAGGCATGTCGTGGCACTGCGCGATCAGGGCGTGCTGTTCTCGTACGATGGCACGTTGCTGCACTGCTACCTCAAAGGCACGTACGAACGCATAAAGCTAAGCGATCATGCGCATAGCATCACAGCCGAGCGCAGTTTCATCTATGCGTGCACACGGCACGCTGTTGCAGAGCTGCGCACCAACCAAGTATTTTATACGCCGAGTACCTCTGTGTGCATAAATACGGTTGATGAGCTCGTGGTGGCGCACCGCGGGCACCTCAGCGTGTACAGCAATGGCAAAAAAGTGCACGAGCACTTCTTCACAGAAAATGTGCGTGTGCACAGCACGGTGCACCCGCGTGAGCTGTACGTGTGCACAAGCAACGATGTGTACGTGCTGAACGTGCGCACCGGTGAGTGCATGCACGTGATGGGCTCTCCTACCAGGATACAGGAAGTACGTGCACGTGATGGCACGCTGTTCTTCATCACGTCTAACGTGTTGTACGTGCTGGGCATGGATCACACCGTTATGGCTGTGGAGTACGAAATGGAGAAGGCCCGCCTGCAAGTGAACGACCGGTTCGTTATTTTGTACAGCTGGGAGGGAAGGTTTCTGTTCTTTGAGAGGCAGGACGTGATGTACTGTGGGAGTGTGCGGTATGAGATGGAAGGGTTTGAAGGGTTTTGTACGGATGGAGATGTTTATCACTTTGTGATGAGGGAGGGAGTTTATTCGTTTGTAGGACATGGTTTGGTTATGGAGAAGGAAGAGGAAGAATTAGGAAGTGATGAGAGGAGAGGTGAGAATGGTGATGAGAAGAGAGGTGAGAATGGTGATGAGAAGAGAGGTGAGAATGGTGATGAGAAGAGAGGTGAGAGGAGAGGTGAGAGGAGAGGTGAGAGGAGAGGTGAGAGGAGAGGTGAGAGGAGAGGTGAGAGGAGAGGTGAGAAGAGAGGTGAGATTGAAGAAGTGGAAGGAAAGCATAAACAACCTAGCATAAATACTGTTAATGCATCTGTCCCCGTTACCATAAACCATTTCTTTAAGGACCCCTCCACCGTACCATCTGACAAGGTTGTTTATGCAGGTAACGCACGTATCATACGAAGAATGTGTAGGAAAAAAAGGAAGGGTGGTAAGCTGATTATAAAGGATTTGTATGTGCTGTACAAGAAGTACAGAGAGAAAAAGGAAGTACGACGAAAGGTACATTCTAAATTGTATGATTGTTTGGAAGAGGGAAGAAATGAGAAAGAGGGAAAAAATGAGGAAGAGGGAAGAAATGATGATTATAAGAAAGATGATTATAAGAAAGATGATTATAAAAATGGCTATGAATCAAAGCAAGATGAACGGCGGCATAAAAAATGTAAAAAAAATGAGAATGTGAACAAAAATGGTAAAAAAGATGCACCTTTAGGGTTCTAAATGCATATATGTGTGCACCAAAGGTACTACACGCTGCCTTTTCTTGATAACGCAAAGTATAACACGTCGTAAGATACCTTTTATTAATTTATCTATGTTTGATCACCTCATAGGTAGTTTCGATTGTTTATCTGTGCTCGTGTTAGCTTTAGGTTCTTTTATTCTTTAAATACTTTTTTGTGTGTTTTAACCTGCTCAAAGGGTTCTTTGTCAGTAAGAGAGAGGCACTTCCAAACTACTATTCTATGATCGGTATTTGTTACTCACCATTTCACTCACCATTTCTCACTCATCATTTCACTCACCATTTCACTCACCATTTCTCACTCATCATTTCACTCTCCATTTCACTCTCCATTTCTCACTCATCATTTCTCATACTCCATTTCTCATACTCCATCCACATATGTCCTTACATCCCTTCTCAATGCCTTGCCCTTCTCCACAAGCACATACAATCCTCTCTTCACCACCTCCCAAGGATCAACAAATTCAGTTTCAACATAGAAAAGCACACGGTGCTCATCCTTCTCCACACACACTCCTTCAACATTCTCTGCATCAATTACATCCCTGTCATCAACCACGTATGCTTCCTCGTCTTTACCATTCTTACGTATGCCTATCACACCGTTCTTGAACCGTTTTCTGAGAAGATGAGCATCATCGTTCTTAAAGGAGCGGGTGAGTGTTAGGATGGGGTGCATGCGGTAGTAGCAAATGTTTACGGTGCTGTACTTCGCATGTTCTTTGGCTGTACCCTTTGTGGCGTACATTTCTACATCTAGGTGTTGGTTAGGGCCTAGTTTAGTGATTAGTACGCCTTGTTTTATCATTGGAGAGCTGTTATTTGTACCATCAATAGCATCATTTCTCTCTTCATCACTTCTCTCTTCATCACCAATCCGGTCCTCACTCATAGCACGTGACCAGCTACTAATCCTACGTCCACTATCAAAATGTACAACCTCAATATCATCACTTCTCACCCATACACCCCCATCACTCCCCTCCTTCCTTATCCTCATCCTAACACAGCTACTCCTCACCATCTCCTCGCTACTGCTCAGGAGCAGAGCATCGCAAAACACGGGTACAAGACCAAGACGGTGCGCCAGTACCTCTTCAGGTAGCACTCCCACGTATTTATGGAACAGTACCTTTGATATGGCAACAGCAGGTACTTCCTCCAAAATAACACGGCGTAGAGCGTTTAAGAACGGTAAGGGAGCGTTTGATACTGTGAGTTGGAGTGATGTGGGAGTGTGCTCGTTTATTTTTATGCGTATTTTTGAACCGTTCATTTTTATGGGGTTGAAGAGGGGCACTAAAAAATGGGGAACGTACCGTGTGGCACTAAGGGCAGTAACAGCACAGCAATTGGTAATGATAATTGATAATAACAATTGTTATTGATAATACCAATACCAATACCAATACCAATACCAATACCAATACCAATACCAATACCAATACCAATACCAATACCAATACCAATACCAATACCAATACCAATACCAATACCAATACCAATACCAATACCAATACCAATACCAATACCAATACCAATACCAATACCAATACCAATACCAATACCAATACCAATACCAATACCAATACCAATACCAATACCAATACCAATACCAATACCAATACCAATACCAATACCAATACCAATACCAATACCACGTTACCACCAAATTTACCCTTCTATTACCCCAATCATTCTTAAATACATAACGCCCTCATTCTCCTCTCCGCACCTCTTCAGTACATCACAGCACCCCTCAATGCTATCACAGTACGTACGCCATCTCTCATCCGTATATTGTGGTACTTTCTTTACAACCGTACCACTTACCACTGTGCGTACGAACAACGTATTCTTACGCTTACGTAGTATGAGAAGAGACTTTGATGCTTCTTTGCACCGTATATGGATTTTAATACGGGTACGTGTTGTACTACACGTATTGATCTTTACGTTCTTAGTTTTATGATTGTAGATTTTACCGCTCATACCATTTCTAGTTTTACCATTCTTAGTGCTACCCTCCCTCTCGTTCTTACCATCCTCATTACTTTTCTCGTTCTTATCTTCTTCATCACCATCCTCATCACCATCCTCATTACCATCCTCATCACCATCCTCATCACCATCCTCATCACCATCCTCATCACCATCCTCATCACCATCCTCATTACAGTCAAATACCACAATATCACCATCACACACGTATATCACCTTATCATCCAAATACCCGTACTTAACAAACACTCCCAAGCTATCAACCGTGCACTCATCAGCATACTTCAGCACATCAATTCTATCGTACACCTCTTTCACTACCTCATCCAAGTTACGTGCACGTGTACCGCCATGTGCACTGCGCAGAGTGTAAATACGGAACGGTACGTATGCAGAGGTTAAGGTGTACATGAGCAGGTGATGGGTGGTAAACGATATTTTGAATGGAAAGGATTTGCACAGCACGGTGATGGCAAGAAACTTAGCGAATGGTGAAAGGTTTGGTAAGTACGGTGTGTTAACACTACCGTTCGCACTCGTTTCAATATTATTATCGGTACCACCAGCACCGATAATACCTTCCTTACCGCCAATAACACCTACGCTGCTCAAAAACGTATCAACACTCCCAGCTGTATCATCACGCACTCCCAGCACATACAAAACGTACAAAACATCAAAATACCATGCACCAACCGTATGTGTCCACCCATCGCCTAATACCACCAGTTCATCACCCTCTCGCTTTATAAACACGCTGTTCGTGGTGTACTCGTAGCAACGGCTACCAAAATTTATGGTGCTGTAGATCTTTGTAAGAATGAGGAATGAGAAGATTAAAGGGATGAGGTACGGGCTGATTATGAGATTGCGTAGCATTTTGGTGTTGATGGGGTACGAGGGGTGAGTAAATAATGGTTTAGGATTGGGGAGGATATGAAGTGATTGAAGGAGTAGTAGAGTAATAGTAGTGTTACTAGTAGTGTTACTCCTCATCTTTCCTCCTCATCTTTCCTCCTCATCTTTCCTCCTCATCATTCCTCCTCATCATTCCTCCTCATCATTCCTCCTCATCATTCCTCCTCATCATTCCTCCTCTTCTACTCCTCATCTACTCTACATCTTTCCTCCTCATCATTCCTCCTCATCATTCCTCCTCATCATTCCTCCTCATCATTCCTCCTCATCATTCCTCCTCATCATTCCTCCTCATCATTCCTCCTCATCATTCCTCCTCATCTTTACTCATCATCTACTCCTCATCATCTACTCCTCATCATCTACTCCTCATCATTCCTCCTCATCATTCCTCCTCATCTTTCCTCCTCCCCTACTCCTCATCTACTCTACATCTACTCTGTTAGATCATCCGTTTCCTTCTTTATCGTTCAATCATTCCGCCTGTCACTTCCTTATAATGCACGTATCACTGCTTTATCGTACCGTACTCCTTTCTTATGCATATTTATGCACTAAACCATCTTTTTAACACGTATTTGTAATTAAATGGTACAAGAATGATTCTTCCTTATTTTGATAGGTTATTTGTATGCGTGCTGGTAATAAACAATGATATTGTTAGTAATGCATTACTACACTTTTATGCACATCTATGCTATTTATATCTAATTCATATTTTTACCTCCTATTCATTTCCTATTTTACATTCTTACATTTGTTGTGTATTATTTCATTTATTTTTTATATTTCCATTTTCACTACATAATTTCTTATTGTTGTATTTACTAATTATTTTATTTATTGTTGAATTTGTTGTATTTGAATACCATTTTATTTTACTTACTTATTAAATTATTTGTTGTATTTACTTATTATTATTTTACTTATTATTAAATTATTTGTTGTATTTAAATATTATTTCCCTTTTAATTACTATTTGTTCTCATTTATTGTTTCAATGTTTTGTTCCTTGCTCATGCTACCTTCCCACACCACGCACCATGCAATTAAAGCACGTTATAACTCACATAACACCATCACATCTAGCAATCCCGCAATTATTTTTGCTCCACTTCACTCCATAACAGCAAAAATGGCACCTTCCTTTACCACACCACTCCATAAGTTTTACGTACTTACCCCCCTTATGTCACTATCATGCTGCAAAAAGCAGAGCAGGGCCCGAATAACGCTGCTAGGCCCGGACACAAAGAGCACAAACACGATGTACACCCGACTAACAAAAAGCACGAAAGAGCGCAACACGCACGCACGCCACCTCGAAACTTTGACATCGCTAAACTCATTGAAAGTTAGTCTGTGCAACGTGGAATGTCATGACAAGGAACTGTGGTCGCTTAATATGCGATTTAGCGATGGGGTGGTGTTTATCGTTGACGTGGATGAGGATAAACTGGACCTGGAGAGATTGCTAAAGGATAGGATGGATCGGCACGTTGTGCTTGTGATGTGCAATACGAGAAATATTGGGGACTGTGTGGTTGAGAGTGCGAAGGATTGGGGTGATAGGGTTAAGGTGGTTGTGTGCAATGTTGAGGAGTGGAAGGGAGTTGATGAGGCACTGCGATGGATGACTGATATGTTGAGCGGAAAGAGTAAATAAAACGGTTATTGATTTTTATATGTAGTAAGGATGTAGGGTGGGTGGCAGGATAATCGTGTACATGAAAGGAATGTGGTAAAATGCTGTGACCAGAAATGTAATACTTAGTACGCTCAGCCACACAATTTTATGAAACACGCCACGTACATCAAGCAGTAAAGAATGTTACGAATAGATCGTTGCTAGGATTGCTTAATTCAAAAATTTACCGTTCACTTAAAATGCGTGGCTATGGTGAGCACTTCGTAGGTTCCTCACCACCACTTCACTTCGTAGATTCTTCACCACTTCACCACTTCACACCACTTCGTAGGTTCCTCACCACCACTCTACCAATTCAACCAATTCACCACCACTCAACCAATTCACCACTCTACCAATTCAACCAATTCACCACTCTACCAATTCACCACTTCACCACCACTCTACCACTTCGCCACCACTTCACCCCATTCATATCACCCGCCGTGCAAAGAATTAATAAACACAATCTCATCACCTGCACTAACACATCCATCCCCACAACACGAATCAACACCATTAATAATGCACATCATACCAGGCGGTAGCACATTATCCTTGAAGAAGGCTTGTGTATCATGATAAGCATTAAGATACCCTATAAGCGTAGGTATGTTGTTTACCTGTGTGTTGGGTGCTATCGTAAGCGTATGGCTCTGCAATTTTGATGGATCAACGCCTTGAAAGATAATTTTCATGAGGGGCAGAAAATACGCAATTAATCTCAATTACAGCAAATAATGCACGATTGAACGAATTTAGCCTTTGTACACCATGCGGTACTGTGAACAGGCACGGTAACACGGTGCAATGTTTTGTTTGCAACACAATGCGCTCTTTTCATCAACAGTTCGCCCCCTCGTACCACTGCACCTAAACAAACACTTCTGGTCTAAACAGAAAGTACTTCCTGTAAAAGTGTAAAGGCACCGATTAGTACGTGCAAAGAGTTTTAAACCCCTTACAAGGAAAGAATACGTAACTGCCGTTCATGGTACATCGCGTTTTAACAACCTTTGTTCGTAACAAATCTAGCACTAGCGTAAGCAGGCACACCAAAGATACGATAGGTATTGTATGCCTACGTGTAACACCTATCGTGACGTAGCATGGTGGTATCGTAGAAGTACGATACGTTTATTTTGCATAAATTGCTCTGTCATTTTCTTTGGCACTTGCAGAAAGGTATGTGCTATTAAATTTTCATCTGTAATTTGTGCACATAGCAAGATTGATGCGCACAAACTGCGGTACGTGCATATAAAACATGCTATGATACACGTATTGTGGTATTAATGAGTTATTTTCTACAAATTATTACACCAGTCTGTACGTACACGTTTCCCCTTTCATGTACGAAGTTTCGTGCTTTTCCCGTTTAAAAACGAGTGACCCTCTAACCCTCATCAACAGCACAATGGCAAGCAGAAAAAACATAACCGCAAGAAAAAGAGCATCGGGCATGACAAATGAGAAAGAAAGTACAAAGGAAAACACCAACAGGAGAACAAGGGACACAAAAAAATACGAGGATGATAACAGTGAAACAAAGAGCGCTGATGATATGTACGGGCATACAGACCTGCAGTATTCGACGCACTGTGCCTCTGATGAGACTGCAAATTCCCTTTCACATGACAGTAGAGAATCGTTCAGTTCCGAGCGAGTGCATGCGTATGATCATGAGAGCATGGATGCTCGTGCATGTTCTGGAAGAGTGATGGAGTACATCGAGCGTTATAAAGTTAATCCACAGGGCATTACTATGCCACAGCACGTGGTGCAGACGAACAGTAAGCCTATTTACAGCCAGCTGATCGATCCTAAGGATAAGACTTGGTGGTCTGAAACAGAGGTAGAGTACCTCAGAAAGGGCGTGCTAATGTTTGGCTGCGGTCGCTGGACAAGAATATACAAAACGTACAAGGAGTACTTTCAAAAAGGTAGAAGACCGTGCGATTTGAAGGATAAATATCGGTTGCTCACCAAGAGCACAAGTTACCGTACAAGGACACTCAGCTCGTTCGTTGAGGTCGATGCCAACAGTAAAAAGGTTGACAACACGGTGTATAGGAAGATGTTTCCCCACGAGGTTGCTCACGAAATTGCCAGGCTGAAGGGCAGGGATGATATGATCATTTGTCTGGCTAATGAAGCAAGTTGGAACGATTCTCTGGGTAGGTATTACAAGATACACAAGTACTTGGTGAGCGTGATTGAGGGAAAGATGAGGGTGAACAAAGTTATTGAGAGGAAAGGAGATTAAATGTTTATTTATAGTTTTATATGAGCATTAAAAAACGTTCTAGAACGTTTTTTAATCATGCATTGGTAAAATATGCGTTTTTAACGTTATTAACCTAACATTTCTGTTGCATAAATTGCATTCTTCCTGTCGGAGAGATAAACATTTTTGGATAGCACCACAATTCCAGGTACTTAGGCCGCATTAAGTTTGGCAGAGCTATTATACCACTGCACATCGGTAGTACTAAATCAACATAAACAATTCGTACGTATCTTTGTATGAAAAAACATTGAATGCGCTTAAATACGAACATATAAAATTATTGAGTGTGATTGATCTCAAACTTATCGCTGATCCTGAAAAGATTAATCGAAAATAGAAATGGACGTGCATAACAAAATAAGATTCAGATTATCAATAAGAACAATTTATGCTTAAAGATGATCACCTATCACTGTCTTTATCACAGTTGCAAGATTAACTTTATCAAAATATTTATTATTGGAACAATCATGCATAAAAATGTGTAAGAACGCATAATGAATGATAAATGAAGAAAATCTTGAACAATTCCAAACATAATCGCAGCATGTATACTTGGTACATTGATCGATGCGTTGAAACATCGTTTGGTACGACGTACAGGGGGACATTTGTAAAAATTATGGGGAAACGGTCAATTCTGCTGAAATACTTGTGTTAAAAAATAGAAGATTGTTGATACGGAGAAAGGATCCTATTCATGGCGAGCAAAGATAGTACTGATTGGATATAAGAACATAGCATAGAAATGCATAAATGGATACGAGTAAAAGGGGTGTATTTATGCAGATGCATGAATATGTAATGCATTTGACCATGGCTGATGCAGAAGTCCTGAGAGATAAGTCAACTAAACATGATATGCAGCTGAACGAGCGTATAAGCCCAAAAACACTTCTTGCAAACAAACAATGGTCCAATTCGGCAGATACACTTTGAAAAAAGGCTACCAATAAAAACCATTGTGCACACCAAAAAGGAAAGTTCATAAGAACAAAACAGAAAATTGCATGACCTGAAAAAGCCACACCCAATAAATCGGCTTGCAGCACAAATGCATGAACTGACAGCTGCCAAGAATCAAAGGCGTGTTCATAGCATAACCGTTAGAGCAGTAACAATGTGCATTTATGCATAAAAAGCACATTGCTGTCCTTTATAGCAATCGTAAGAGCAGGAACAATGCGCACGCGCAACTTTAATACAAAATGAACCGTTTACAACACAAAATGAGGTAAGGCAACGGAGCTTAGACCAAAAACGGATTTTATCAAACATAGCTGATCTCAGGATGTTTACCAACACCGCCACATATATCGTAAACAGCCTGTGCTACCGTAAGGCACATTACATCTACGTTGTCCTTTGCCTCACAGAATATTCTTATAACGTTCTCTGTTCCGGAGGGCCGTACAAAAACTTTGCCCTTCTCGTTCTTCATGATGTTGCCGATCACGTTCTTCAAGGCAACGGGTTCAAGCACATCAAGGTTCTCTGAGTTGACCACCACCGTTGGATCTGCCACAGACACCTGCAACATCCTGGAGGGAAAGGGCACGTACGTGTCCTCAAAGAGAGCAGGTCGTGTTTTGCGCAGGTACTCGAGCAGTAGAAAATTGGCCAGAGGATCGGCAACGCAGTCTCTATACATCTCTATGATCTTGTTGATCTCCTCGTCTCCTATATCTTCCTTGCCGAAGAATATGCCACCGTGCCCATTCGGCTCGTTGTACACGCCTATGTCGTACTCCTTGCTCTTCTTGATGAAGTTTTTTATGCCTGTTCTCACCCTGACAGCCTCGCAATACTTTCCAACGTAATTCACCGCTGCACTGTTGCTGTAATCACTCAGCACGCATCCTATTCTGCAGTTCACCTTCTCGCTCAGGTACCGCACAAGGATGCTTGCCTGTCTGTCTCCATCCATGTACGTCAGTCCATCGTTGACTGTAAAGTATATGAAACGGTCCATGTCACCATCAAAGGATGCGTACAGGCCCTTCGCATTCTCCAAGTGACAGGGCACTTCCTTTTCGTACTGGATGTACTGTGCACCGCACCGATCATTCACCTCACCATCCTTGTTCGTAATAACGAACAGTTCCTGCTTCATATCCGTGCCGTGTTCCTTCTCACACGCATTTGCACTGCCATGCTCTTTCTCGTCATCGAATTGCTTCGCCGTATTTTCACTGCCAGTCTCCTTCCCATCATCAAAGTACCCCACCGCACACAAACGCTCATTAATACCGCTGAGCACGTACCCCGCCACACCATTGGACGTATCAACCTTCACCTTCTCCCTCAGATCTGCAAAACGTATAAAATCGACGAACATATCAAAGTACCTCTCCTTCTCCACCAACATATTGAGTTTGTTGCTGCATGCCACCAGGTAGTGCAGCTGTGGCGTGCTGACCACGCCATAATCCACAACCGAGCAGTTAAAATTGCCCATCAACTCCACAATCTCCTCAACCAGCTTAACACCGCTCTCCCGCGTATCCCTTCCCACCATAATATTTGCCTTTGGTCCATCACCAAACTGTCTAAAATTGCCGTAGTTCCTGTGCACCTTGTTCAGCTCGCTGTAGAACGTGTTGTCTTCACAGTTTACGATTTTGTTCACGATGGTCTCCCAGGTATGATCGAACATTTCACCGTTGTGGTCCACCAGCTTGATGCCGTTATCACGTGCATGGTTGTGGCTGGCGGTGAGCAGAATGCCTATGTACTTGCCGGCCAGGGTTGATGAGCGCATGTATGCACATAGAGTTGTGCGGGAGATGGGCAGTTTTGATGGAATGTCACGGTATCCCGATGTGCCGTAGTGTAGGGTTGATGAAGGCTTCTTTAGTGTTGAGGGGAGATTCTTTGTTAGTAAGGATTTTATGTCCATGAGGGGTGCGATAAAATTTATAAATAAGGGTTACGGGCGGCGCGCTGTATTAGCGTGGAGAGGTGTTCTGCAACGTTACAGACTGGTGTACCGTTACAAATGTATGTAAGGTGATGTAATCAGCTGAATTAGGTACAATAATGCATTATTAATGGTAATATAATTAATGATTGCATATATTTATAATTAGTGATTGCATTATAATTAATTATAAATATTACAAGTAATGCCTTACAAACGGTACATAAATGAGGAAAAGCATAGTTGAGAACATGGCACGGTGATCGGCACTGATAATGAAAGAAAAGCGAATCTTTGATTGATGGTGTACTTGGACAGCACGGTTTACGGTGCAATGCCACAATGGGAAGTAATTAGGAAGAATTGAAGTGTATGAATGGGAAGGTAGGATAGTGCGTGTTGGTTATTGATGAGGTAATGCACATCATCGTTCAGTACTACCTCATTAATACGTATCATAGTAGCGGTACGTGCCGATTCAATTGATGAACAAAGCGGTGGTACCGCTATTACCGATCTAAGAGTGATTGATCGCAGCATTGTTTAATTACGGATTGATCTATTTTTGTGTGGCTGTACAGGCGGGTGCTACAGTGTGGTGAGAGCGCGTGCTGCTAAAGAATGGGAGAATACGCTCATGCGTTATGGTGCAAGGCAACGAATGTTCTAGCGTATTACGGACGAGGTACATGCTATGGTATGAAATATTTGAATGCTTAAGGAGGGAGGGTGGAAAGGAATGGGTAACCTCCTTTTCTTCCTTCTGATCAGGTGTTAGGAACGGATCACTTGCCTTTAAACCGTAGAGTGATGAACACACCGCAATAAATTAATAATGAAAGAAATGATGGATGAAAATATTGGGGAAGTACTATCATGGGTGAGGTACGTTGGTAAGTTTGGCATACTGGGATTGATGAGGAGAATAGGAGTGCTTGTACGAAGCGTGTTACGTTCTGTTGTCTGAGAAGAATGCATTATTTTGGTATGGTGCAGTGTAGAGCGGGCAATGAGCTGCGTTGGAAAGGGATAGGCTTATAAGTGGTATGGTGCAGTGTAGAGCGGGCAATGAGCTGCGTTAGAAAGGGATAGGCTTATAAGTAATGATTTAGCAATGATGCGTGCGATGAGGAAACAGCAATGCGGTGATAGCACGTAACACTAACAGAGCACCACTAATTTTATTACCAACACGGCATGACCACGTATCATTAGCAATTTCCTTACTAACACGGTGCATACCCCACAACTATCACCAGCTCAGTGCTACATCATCTGTAAAATGATTTATTTAGCATGCAGTACAACTCACCACGTATCATTCCAGTGCTTCTATCAATTTGTCCTTGACACTGCCATATTCACAATTAATACATTCCAAGCACCGTCCCTCCCACACCACAACTATGCCGTTGCCCACAGAGAACACCAACGAATTGTTCCATAGGCCCATCAAATACCCCGATTTGGTTCTCCTCACCCGCACAACAAACGTAAACTGGTACTCCGCTATTTGCTCACTGGGGTAAAAATTCCTAATAAAATAGACAAGCCGCTCGTGATACGCCTTGTACCTCTCAGGAATGCTATCTGCCGTGTGCTCCTCTTTTCTGAGCACTTTCTTGTTATTCTCTATCGATGCCGTTATAAACACGAAGGTATTTACGGATTTTCGTATCGCGCTGTCTCCGTTACAGAAATATATGCCGTGTCGGTTGCTGCGCATTTTGTAACCGAGACCGTTTAGCTTGGAGAGATAAATACAGAACGTTACGGTATCTGCTACTTCGCTGGCGTGCTGAGATTGGTGCGAAGCATGGTTGGGCTGCTGCTCACCGTTGATAAGGGTGATGGTATTGTCTCTCAGGTTATTGAGAACGGTGCTGATGAGGCTCTCCTTCTTGTTGAAGAACGGATGCTGTTCTATCTCTTTAAGGGAGAGCCTTTTGTCCGGGTCTGTAATTAACAGGCGCTGTATAAGATCTTTGGCCTCTTCACTGATTAACGTGTTCTCCGGTATTTTGTACTCGTTCCTCTTTATAGTGTTGTAAATCTCTTTGGCTGTTTTCTTCTGAAAGGGCGGGGTGCCTACAAGCATCGTGTACACCATCACACCAAGCGACCAAAGATCGCACTCAAATGAGTAAGCAATCTTGTTGATTATCTCAGGCGCTATGTAGTTCGGTGTTCCGCACACCGTTGTTCTCTTATTTTTGTTGTTTATCAGGGCACACAGCCCAAAGTCGGCTATTTTGACCGTAAAATTCTTGAGCAAAATATTGCTCAGCTTCAAATCACGATGCACAACATTCACACTGTGCAAATACGCCATCGCATTAACAGTCTGTCTCAAAAAGGTTCTCGTATGGCTCTCTCTGATTCTTTTGTTCTGTTTCAGAAGATCGCTCAGCGTGCTATCGCACAGCTCCATAACGAGCACAATGTGCTCGTCTGTAGAGAACGTGCTGTGCAACTTAACGATGTTAGGATGCGAAACACTGCGCTGTATGCATATCTCGGTGCTCAGCTTCTCACGCAGCCGATCACTCGTCAGTTCAGATCTTTTCAGTATTTTAAGGCATAGATTGTCCTTTGTGGCGTAGCATTGGGCAAAAGCACCCTTGCCAAGAAATTTTGTGATTGTGTAAGGCTTGTTGGTGGATGGATCTGTTATTGTGGAGTGGAGGGGGAGGAAATATTCGATGCGCTTGGACATGCTTTCTTTGTTTTGGGGAGGGAGAAATTAAACAGAAATAAAAAAGCGAGCGTAAATAGACCGGTGATTCGTTGTTATGTGGATCGAAGGGATGGTTTAGGAATGTGTGTTAGGGAATAATTGAGTGAGGGAATAATTGAGTGAGGGAATAATTGAGTGAGGGAATAGATGAGAATGAATAGATGAGAACAGATAAAAGTGTTCAACAGCAAATAACAAATGCTTGTACACGCTATGTTTATGGAGTTGTTCGGGATAGAAATATGCTGAGAAATGATACATTGGCTGGTGATATGTGATCTATCACGTATTTATCGCAATCATTTGTTGTAACCGTACACCGCATTTTAATCGTTAACATTTCATTGCGTTGGCACATAAAACGTTTGGCATGCTCACAGGTCATGTTTCAAAGAATTATCACCTTCTCAAATCAGCACTAAGCAGCAGAAATGAACAAAACACCTTCCTAACTATGAATGGAACTGCTATGTTCAGCATTTTGAATAGCAAGTGGTAGCAAATATCATTCAAATGCACGAAAATGCTCAAAAAAGTTTTGTAGAGCATTATGAGATTACTTAATGAGAAGGCCCTTCTTTGTTCCAGCAGTACGTTGTTCATGTCCACCATTTCAACCGCACTATTTCGCGATCAAAACTCAGCATTTCATTCGCTGACCATACTTAGAAATGAATTTGAGGGAGTTACATGCGGATGTACATTGATATTGGTGTACAAACAAAATTGGCTGGTGCTCTGACGAAAATACACGGTTTTTCTTCCAATATTAATTCTGTGCACGATTGGTTCTCGGTATACGCGGTCCTTATCACCGACAGTAAATGTTTGAATCCGTTACTGACATGCCTTCCCACGCAAATTACAATTAAGTACCTCTCAATGTCTGTTCGTGGTTCATTCCACGTTCTTTAACTTTGTTTATTCTTTGAACTAACGGCGTTCTCTGCTTTTATTACGTCTTTTATTACGTCTTCATTACGGCTGCCTTCATGAACGATTTCAATGCAGGAATAGATCAGCTCTTGCAACGAATAGGTGGTTGCTTTGTTGCTGGTCCATTTTCAGGTTTTATTCTTCCCGTGGTTTTAAGGCTCTTTCAAGCGAAACTCTTTCTGCACTCAAAACCGTTTATTTATTTTTTCATGCCACCGTGTCCAAACAAATGCGCTTTCTGATCCGCTGTGACCGTGTTTGTTCTTTGATCAGGGTACCGAGCGGATTGCAGCAAAAATAGGCGGTGTCTATGACCGGCTAAGCATATCGGTCCGGCAGTGATGTGTTCAATCACCGCTGCCGTGGTACATGAGCAGATCGGTAGCAACAGCTTGTATTGAACGCAGCGTGCGCTCCAATCCTGAATCAAACGTAAAAGGACCGCTCTACGATGCGTATAATCACCAAAAGTAAACGGTGTGTGCACTAAAGAAGAGCTGCGCTGCAGCCCACCGTTACACAACAGCTTAACACACCAATACGTATTTTATGCTTTGTTACTTAGACAGAAATGCTTTGTGCTCATTTTTTAGAATCATTCCATGAGTTTCTCAAAACGGAATGATCAATGCTACATTTTAACGTGCACGTGCCGGTGTATCCGCGTAAGTAGAAATGAACATCAATTACGTTCTGAGAACTGTTCCTGAACCGTGTAGAGTAGAAAATTGTACTTTACATGGGGCTTACGTTAACATGGTGGTGATACCGTTCCATTTGCTGATTTGCACTATAATTCAGTTTTATGATGGTTTTGCTGCGGTAAAAGAACGCAATCACAGTTTTAAAAGCCTTTTGAACGGTGCCGTTCTTCTCCCCGAACAAATTTAAATGCTAAAAAGAACAGGCGGTAAAAAAAAGTTAATTTACTTGTTTTAGCGTTGAATGGCATGCAACTCAGAATTACGAACATGCCCTGTTGTTTTCGTATGTACCCCGCCATTTTCATCTTTTTATCGATCTTTCGTGGTGCGTACGCAGCATTCGGGTGCAGCACCAATGTTTCTTCTGATGAACACTCGTCTGAGCACACCGTGCCGGTGTTGGCACGGGTTTGTGATGGTTTCGAGTCGGGTGAACATCAAGCACCTCTGAGCAGCACTCCCTTACGAACAGCTGCGCTAGGCACATCTCACCGAGAAAGCAGTTCGTTGGATTACCGCTCCGTTTGCTCGGGAGAACGCTACCCGTCAACCAAAGAGACGGTAAATCGTGCCTTGGGAACGGAACAGGTGCGCAGCAAATGTACGAGTGAGTATTTAACACCAGACCATGGCTATGCTGCTGCAGGATGTGAGCGGTCGATTCAAAAACAAAGCTGCTCTGATTTGTACACCGCCCGAGCACCCGCCGTTAGCACCTCACGTGCTTGTTCAACCGGCTCGGTGATGCACCCCAGCTCTCGGTCACACGCCCCGCTCGACCAAGAAGTGCAGCAGGTTTGCCATCCGTGTGGTTATTCCACACTCAATCCAAACGCGGTACCGTGCGCAAGCACGTATACCTGTATCTGTGGCAGCATATTATTTATACGGCATATGAAGCTTAAAATGTTCACCAATTTCACCCACAACGCACCACCCGTATTCCTTGCATCACCCGACTTTGTTCCTGCGATCTTTCGCATTCACGAGGACGAGCACAAAGAAACCGCCTTTAATACCTTACGTAGCTTTTATAATGAGTACATCGATCGATCCCTTTCGTACAGAACTAAGGAACCTCTAAAAATTGTGAGTGACGAGCTTGAAAAACTATTAACTCGCTCAGAATTGCAAGGCCTGCGCGGTCGATGGCTCGGTTATCAGCAAAAAAAGCTGCGCATTTCGCATTTTGTCTTTGTTTGTGAGTTGCTGGAGTACCTCAAGGCTCTGATCGCAAAGTGCAGGGTTGTGCACGGTGTTCTTCAAAAAATAGAGGCTATCATAGAAAACGTATCGCTGGTAAACACCGCGTTGACGTTCAAACGGCCCGAACTCATGAAATCATTACTTTTGGAGCTGAAGAACGAGCATGCATCTTCATTTAGCTGTTTCGAGAGTACCACGCACAAAATAAGTTACATGTTGAGCGAAATACTGAAAATGCTGAAAAATACGATTGAAAGGCAACCAAGGGAATGGATGTGCGATATATTTGCGGTTAAGTGGATCAGTGATGTGAAGAACTACGTGTTCAACTGCGTAATAAACGAAATTATTGTTCCGCGGACCGATAATGCCGCTTCATTTGTTACGGTACTGATTGCATTTCTGGAAAGTATCGGCACCGATGGGGTAACGCAGTGTGCACAGGGCCCATCTGCACGGGCGCAAGGTGGAACTAAACGACCGGACGAACAGAACATGCACACACGCCAAGCAATTATGAGCTACATGGATGAGTTTGAAACGCTGGTATCAGCAGTTCGTGAGCTGAATCTAAGCTACGCATCAATAACGGGCACTCTTACGGTTAATTTGAACATCTTGCGGCAGGTCATGGTGAACATAAGCGGTTGATGGTGCTACGGTAATAAAATTTATTTTATGAATTGTTATCGTTGTGATACGCGCACTGTGCTGCTTTTCATTGCTACGAAGAGCGGTGATTTAAGAGGAAAGATAGTTCACGCTCAGAAAGGTATTTGCAAGGAACATGAACAACTATCCGAATAGATCATGTGCTAGAAGCACCAAAATTGGAACGTAACATTTTATTTTGCACTTCCACCTTCCTTCCTATCTAATTATTTTAACTGCAAAAATGGTGTAAACTAAATTTGCTCTTTTTCAGCACAGCCCTTTTGCAATACAATTCGGTCGATCCCTGCGAAGAGGCATGGAATAGCGGTGTGGTAAGGGGTGGTAGTTGAACACAATTTAGAGAAGTAAAAAATATTTGTCCTAGCGAATTGGCGTGAAGCGTAACTTACATAGTACGTAAATTTAATATTATCTTCTACAGAAAACTGCACATCGGTCTTTTCACACCATTTTGCTGTTATTACCAAATACTTCGGTGCCGTAACGTACGTTCTAATGATTTTGTATTTTATTCTGATTGATACTTGATTTGGTAACAATCTGGTACTTGTAATCCTTGAGCTATGGCCATTGAATGTGGTTGCTGATGACAGACTGGCAAGGAAGAAGTAACGGATGAATTTGCTTGATGCCACAAGAATGAGATTCTTCAACATTTTTACGATGTGGTTGTTCTGTCATTCTGTGGCTAGGAATTGCAAGGGCATCACGCAGCACTAGCGAGCGCATTTTATGGCTTGTACCGCATGTGATCGGCTAGGAATTGCAAGGGCATCACGCAGCACTAGCGAGCGCATTTTATGGCTTGTACCGCACGTGATCGGGTAAATACATTTTAAACGAAAATTGCACCACACACAGCACTACTGCTCAATAAAACATATTTATAGCTTAAATACTCAAGCACTGCCTTTAATTTACCTATCGTACCGGTTCATAGTGCTTTGAAATATCAACACGATCAGCAACTCAGAATAAATTCCTAAAACAGCAATGATAAAATTACAAATAATTTAGCATATCGGGCTGATTAGCACGGGCTATAGGTACTTTTCAGCAGCACAGGTGCACCTGATGGTGATACATGCCCTATACCAGACAGAAATGTGTTATGGCTCTTGCTCGGTACGCACGATGCCGCCACTGAAACGAATTGCTAAAGAAAGTGCCTTTCAGGCAGAGCATGTATGAAGAGCGCGTTTTAAAGTATGCAGTGTTAATTCCCACATTTATTTCTGTCCATAATTGGTGCTAAAATTTTGTGTCATTTACCATTTGATAAGAAATCAAGAGTTGGCAGAATAACCCGTGTAAAGCTAAAAAATACACGGAAGAACAATTTTACATAAAAATTTAATTAATTTTGCTATTTTGGTAAATTGGCGAGCATAAATACGCAGCGTGGAACAGCCCGCTAGTTCGAAATGAAATACGCTCTACTCAGTATTATCACAGTTCTATGTCACGTACCAAGCATCGTTGGATCATACCAGGACGAGACACGAAACATCATGCCAGAAATGCCCTACTCTGCCACCAACAGCACGATCACACAGCCAATCACAATAATTTCTGACCCGCCGGATGAGCAAGAAAGTCTGGTAACGATCGATTCAGACTCAGCCCAACAACCAGTATCGGGTAACGATGTTGACGAACACTCAGGCCCTACGGACTCGGATGAGAACGCCCAATCTGTCACAACAGAGGAGGATACTGCCGCAGACACTCTCAACCAAGCGTTGGATGTGCGTATTCCGTATACACTCTTTCGTGGGTTTAAGATGCTTAACTTCGGAGTTGAAGACAATTCACAGCAATCGTCGGAAGGACTGGCGGAATGCACGCCGGTACCAAACGGAAATAATGCCGACCAAGGTTTGAATGCAGTTGGCACAAGGCCTGAAACAGATTTGGATGATCACGGCACCGGATCACATAATATGATTGAGCAGAGATATGTAGGAAGCTATATGTACTGTATCGATGCAGGATCAAGCGAAGAAATAACGGAGCATCCTGACCTGTCATCCTCAGCAGAATCATCAGAACTAAACGATACTGCGGACGTACCGCCCTCAAGACCATCGTTCAAGACATGGAAATTGAATTTAAATGGCCATTTTGAGGCACCAGATTTTGAAACTCAGCAGAAAGTTCTTGATCTGTCATTTTCTGACCAAACGAGTCCGACACCAAAATGTAAGGAACCATCAGAAAAAAACAAATTGTTAACGTGTAGAGATGCGTATAATCCACAAGCTAACGATCAGTTCTGTTCATATTCCATAACCGATTTCATTCAAGTGGAATCAGCAGATTCGGATGAAGATACTGGCGCTTTGTCCCCCAAGTCCGGAGAACAAAACTCTGAATCCGTTGGTGCATTGTCTGAATCACCAACCGCAAGTACAAATACCACTGTTTGCACGAATAGCAGTTTAGTTAAACGGGTCGCCGCGATAAATACGAAGCTAGCCGGATTAAGGAAATTAATATGCAGCAACCATAAACATCTCACGGTATCGGATTACACAAGGCTGTTGAACTACCAATTATCCATGTGCGATTGCGTAAATTTAATGATGAAGCGATTTAAAACGAACACACAAAGCATTTTGCATCATGAAGCTGCCGTAAATTCTTGCGAGAAACTTCTCAAAAACATTGAACATCTCGTTGAAAGCTCAGTTGCAATTTCAGACCCTGCCAAGGCAGCAGACTTAGAGGAACAATTCTTGTTACTCGATGCGGAACATTCCGCCTTGAAAAGGAGCCTAAAAAATCAGGAGTTTTGTATTGGATGAGTGAATAAACGCTTTCAGCTATTTTTGGTAGTTTTAACGCAATCGTTGTCACCACTGGTAAAATTACAACTTTTTGGTTTCGCATTGCCAACCATTCGCTGAATTACACACGCAAACTGCAACATTAGTACGTAACAGGTTATTTTATTGCCTTTATCACCGATATACCGTGTTTACTTCTCTACTGTGTAAGGACGAAAAGATCGTCTCATCGCATCGGTACTTTCCCTTTTCAGAATTATAATTTTGCATTTTCTAGGACTTTTATCTTTTACAATGCCTGTAAAATAGCACTGCACATCTTTTCATTAAACAATCCACTTCTCTGCTGCTCTCCACCCTACAATGCTCAACATCGCTCCATGTAATTAAAAACATTACAGCCCTTCCTTCAACGATCGGTCTGTGAACGCTGAGCAATTCAAATAAATATTTTACCTCCTACGTTGAGCGGTACTGCACTGCTCACACACATCAAACGTACATTTCATTAAAAAAAGATCAGAACTATCTTTATTTACCGTTTTGACTGTAAAAAAGTGCAAATTCATTATTCATACACTTCCATTGCTGCGGTACTACCAACACGCCAGCACAACTATCAGAACAGCACTACACCTCCTTCAAACAGCTAAATTGTGCGTAAATTTCGTTCACTCTATTCCTTTCCGATTCATTCAGCCTCGGTTCATCTACCTGAAGGGCATTGCACAGGAAGAAAAGCGTTACCTTGCACTTCAAAATGTTGGGATCAAGGAGTGCCAAAGTTTCTTTGTTCAAGAAATACATCTCCTTCAGTTTCATGATTGTCATCAAGTTGTGTTCCGTAGACTTGTTCTTGATGTTTTTTACGAACTCTTTGATCGTATCTGCCTCACATCTCCTAACTATCTTATCGACCCGTTTGAAACTTACGGTGTTATTGAGCAGTTTGTTGATTCTGCCAAATTTTGCTCTTATCTTAGCGATTTTTGACGAGTAGTGCAGGAAGTAGCGGTAATCTACCTCTGCTCTCACCAAGTGGCCCTTCTCGTGCTGCCTTGCCAAATTAGTGTAGCTCTCCATTCTCTCATTGCTTTTAGCACGGTCAGCAGCCGGCTGTCTCGTTCTTAACATGTTCTCCAGTATCACATACAAATTTTCTTTTATGTCATTCAGCTTGAGGAACTCGTCCAAGCTCACTAAAAAGTGCTCGAGCCTATTCGCATCACCTTCTATGTCTTCCTTGAACACACTCTCCATCTCGGAGAAAATCCTGGCGGTCATCGCATCCTTTGCCCCCTCAACCGATTCGCGAAAAGCACTCAAATTGCTCCTATTCACGATATTAGATACCAACCCGTAAAAGATGTGCAGCTTGTTGATCATCGCTCTGTATTTTACAACGCTGAATTCCTGTGCTACGCGGGCATTTATCCAAACTGTCACACTTTTAAATATTTCCTGCTCAATCAGGAAGGTGTTTGTGATTGAGAGGGTCTTCAGAACGTAAATAAGGACGTTCTCGATTTCGCACAGCGTTTTTCTGTCGTTGAGATGCTTCTTCACGAGTGCAAGCAACGTATTCTCCATTTTGCTGTGCTCATCCCTTTCAATCTTGAAGTAAAGCTTGAAGTAGAACAGCGTATCCTCAGTGCTCCCGTTCTTTTCTATCTCTGCCACTAAAATATCAAGAAAACGGTTCTTAACGATGTTCGCCTGCCTCAACTTCGTTGACAAGAACTTTGAATCGTTCTTCAGCTTTGCGGCTGAGTTGTAGTGCTTTACAAATCCCTCGTAGTCCAGGTATTTAAGATCGTACTTAAGCCTGTCCTCGAGGTTGATCAGCTTATCATAGTAGTGCAGTATTTCTCTACGCCTGGTGCTTTCATCACTTAAATGTGCACTTATCCCGTGTGATAACGAAATCTGCCGTATCTTGTCCTTCAATGCTGTAAGGTTGTGCTCGATCTGTTCAAACACGTTCTTCACGTACGAAAAAACATCATTTTTGCGTATTTCTTCGATTGACTCTCTGCAGTGCACAAATTTGCTGAAATGCCTCCTCACTAATTCCTGATTTTTTATTTTATTTCTGCTGATACTCTCTTTGACATTGGCTAGGGTGTCGTTCAACCCGCCAAGTGTGTGTTCCCTTAGCGCAGAGTTGATGAAGAGCAGCGGATTAAAGCTTTCCTCCGCGAACACCTCGTTGCTCGTCATATGGTCGCTACTCGCCGTTTCTGAGGATAACGAATCGGACATGGGTTAGAGCAATTCGCGGAATGTCTCCCACAATGATACGGCCCGAATAAACAATCCGGTGACTTAAGCGAATGCCGTATTGATCAAACGTACTTCTGCGACCACGGCATGCAACGTATCATGTGATAGCATATAAATTAGATCGCAGAACCAATTCTTTGTCAAGGACCTTTGCTCGTGCTGCTGGTCATTCACGGTTTTTTCGCTAAAAGATTGCGCAATTCTTAAAACATCGCACACGGTTGAACCGATCAATCCACGTGTTACAAACACAAACCTGCTTTTAATTCTGATTCCTATCATCGTGGTAAATGCTCACACCACCCGTGCCCACAGGTATTATACCGCCCACTATTATCGAATCGCTTACACCTGCGATCTCATTGCACTTGTTATTAGCAGCCGCATCGAAGAGGTGCTCGCCAGTCTGCTCGAACGATGCCAGCATTAGGGGACTGCTCTTAAAGTTTTTTATACCGAATCGTGTTATTCCGTTGACCTTGCCCTTGAAACACATCAATGTGATGTGTTCTACGTTTATTTCTATTCCATGGCTTTTGAGTGTGAAGACGATCTCGTTTACAATGCTGCGCTGTGCCGCTTCGATGCCAAGCAGCCCTGAACTAAAAATATTTGCAGCTACGATGGGAAGCACCCCGGTGCTCACAGAACAAAGGAAGTAAATCTTTCTACAATAAAACAAAAATATAAATTGTGTGCTCATCCGCAGCAACATGATCGTTGCTCTTGATTGTTAAACTCCCAAATTTATTTTCACACCAGGATAACTCCTCCACACCATCAACTACCTGTTAATCATGCTATAAATGCTGTTTAGAAAAGCGTTCTTGTCTTTGCTTTGGAAATACGCCGATCCGATCACAAAGCAGTCCGCGTCACACACACCTGCAATGCTATCCAAGCTTATGCCACCGTCCACGCACACGTGGCACCCTTGCCGTTTCAACTCACGTATTTTATCTCCCGGTGAAATAAACGATTGGTTACCCTCACCAGCATACACGGTCATAACCAGCACTTTGTCCTTGCACACGATCGGTTCATCTGGATTGATTGCGATGCCGTAGCCGGGCACATCCTGGTGCATGTAAATGGTGCTCACGTTGCGGTTGCCGATCTTTTTGAGCAACTCGAGGGGTGACCTGATCATAAAATGCAGATCGAATTTAAAATCCAGCTCCAATATTTGGTTCACAATCGAAGGCCCAAAGCTTATGTTGTTGGTGAACGATGTGTCGATTATATCCAGGTGTAGCAGTGGTCGTGGGCACATGCGCGCGAGCACATCAAGTTCGTTTTTTAGGTTCAGGATTGGCGCGTTTAGGATGCTTATGGCGACTTCCTTCATTCTCGGGGCTAACCGAATGAATAGCGAAATACGAATGCGCACGATTTGCTCGAGAGGAACAGAACTGAGGGTAATTTCTACTGAAAATGTTGATCTACGCCAAAAGAATGGTTTAATGGTCTTTATCTGCAGATCAGAATCATGTATTACATTTAATTAGCAGGAATGTATCAATGTTTTAGACCAAAACAATTGTTGTTGAGGGGAATAATTCGGTTAATGATGCCGTTGGCAAACGAAGGAGCATTCAAATACGCCAAGTTGATGGTTTGAGCACGTGTAATGATTTGTTGTTGGCATGACACTTTCTTTGAATGCAACACTCTCATTTATGAGCACGACACATTTTGCTACCACGGTTGAGGACGATTGCAGTGATTTATTGGGTGTGTGGCATGTCCTGAGCAAAGAAAAGCTTCAGGATCAACTTGATCCATCCCACGGATGATAACATGCAGTGAGTGAGGAGTAACCGAGGTGAATAAATCTAAATTTGACCTAAAAATATGGCATGCTGTCATTGGTGCTCACAACAGCACATGTTATTTTTTTGTCCTATCAAGCACTTCCGGCACAAATACCATCTTAAATCGTACAGATGACCTAAGCTGATGGCCAAGTTGCGCTTCATCCCACAATGCATCATCCTTTATCGTGCAGTTTTTTGGCAGTAACACACATTTTGAACGTAAAAACGATTTACCGGTACTAACTCAGCAGCACGCTGGCAGATTTGCATCTTAGAAATGTTCAGAATCGGGATCTAAAAAACTGGGCCATACACGGAAATGACGGTACGTTGGAGTAAAAATTTGTAAAAATTTAATTGCACGAACTGCTAAGCGCACACGCAGGAACAGACCAGTACAAAAGAACATAAACGTTTTACTTCATCGCGATCTTCTTGGTCACATAGAACTGCTTCAGCTTTTTGTTGAAGTAAATGAAAGTAACCATAACCACCACTATCTTGAACAGAATACTGCCCAGTATAAGCCTGGCGGTCGATGACATAATGGTGTCGTACTCACTCTCATCCATCAAATCCATTCGCAGCACGTTTTCAATTTCTTGGCACGCTCCTATCGCATACCGTATCTGCCGTTCTAGCTCACGGAGCGTGCTGTCCGTCTGTGATATTACATTCGGATTCTTGGCCCGTCCCTCATACAACTTCATCTCAGCCCCATACATCCCTACATTCGGGGTGGGCAACATCAGGGCAAAGCGATGCATCGTGTTGACCTGCGACGTAAAGAAGAATGTCGGCTTGGTGCCTGTACCCGTATATTCAGCAACAAACTGCGGATTCTTGTTCATTGTTGTCCAGTCACGGTCCGGCGAGCAGGTGATCAGCAGGTCCGATTTTATGGGTGTGGTTGAATCGAGCTTCTGCCAGGGAACAAACTCATTGGAACGATACATCAGAGTGATTTCCATCAGAACTACGGTGCGCTCGGCAAGCTGCTTGAATTGAACAAGGGGCCGGTTGTTCGCAATGGTGCGGATCAGTGCCTCAACGGGTAGCAGAAAGAAAAACAGCATTGGAGGGGTCAGCGAAACAAATTTTATTTTGCAGGGCGTTTAATTTAGCAGGATCATTTCGGATGGAGAGGTTCAATTGCTTGTGCAATGTAAAGAAACAGTATTACCGGACAAGTGCGTTATTTGGATGTTGTTGTGTGAGGAGATAAGTAAATTGGCTTTAAAGCGAATTTATTCGCTACAAATGAGCATGATATTTTGATGTGCAGCATATCTCTGGTTGAACGGTGCAGTAGGTGGATATGATCTGCATAGCACGAAAAGCGTTTTTAAGCACTGTAGAAGCAGGCGATTATGCTCAAAACGCATGCTTCCGTTAGATCGGACATTGGTTCAGGTTTTCGTCAAGATGGAAATTTATTCTGGTTTATTTGCGAGAATAAAACGTAATAACATACCAATAATGGCTAGGTACAGCATATAAGAAGGTACAGTTGATCAGTTCGTGTTGTTATACTCACATTTTGCCTGCTCAACGTGCTGTGGACAGTTGTACCTTTTCGACCGGAAGTGCATTTATCTCCTCATGCTATGTCATCCAAACAACACACTTTTCTGATCTGTTGGGAACAACAGATCATCATTCTTTGGTTCATAGAGCTGATCATAAGCACTGTTTCACAACCTGCCAGAACAGTCAATGTGAGAACTCCACCCTCATCACAGCTAAAACAACGAAATGTAGTAATTGCCTTTCAACACTCCATTCGAAGCAACGCTTATTCCAAGGATTCATGGAAAAGGGATCATAGTGAAGCATCAAATCTATCGAACATAACCTTGTGATGGTAATATCTCTGTATTGGTGCCAATAGCAGCTGCCCGTTCCCACTGATTCTACAATAATGAATTGGAAAGTCAATTTTGGTAAATTAAATTATTGCTCATCTCTGTTTGTGTGCTGCGAGAAGATAATTAAACAGACTTTGGAATGAAACGACCGCCAATGTGCACGCAAAGGAATGCTAGTTGACCGTCACAGGCAGTGCACAGCTTAATATGAATGACTACCAAATTATTATGCCAAATACCAGGTTTGATCCTAAGAGTAGAAATGGAAGAATAATGTGCAATATTTATTTCTTGTGGTTTAGCAAATAATTGATGTTGGTTTCTGCCCATTTCTCAGCCGTAAAATTTTCTACATTCTTCAAGTTAACTTTGTACCGCCTCTTCCGCTCATCAGGACCCATGCCGATTCCTACCTCAATCGCCTTTGCTATTGTTTCTGTGTCCCACGGGTTTAGAAAAACTGAACCTGGCAACGTGCTGGCAGTACCTGCAAACTCGGAGAGGCCCAGAATGCCGTTGTTCTGTGAACAAGCAACGAATTCCAGGGCCACCAGATTCATTCCATCGCGCACACTGCTGACAAGGCACATGTCGGCAATTGAGTACAGCGCACACAGTTCCTCAAATTTAATGCTATTGTTCAGGTAGTACACGAGATTATCTGTCACGCCACCGTATTTACTATTTATCCTTCCCACCTTGCCAATTATCGTGTCCTCAAGATAATTGTACTCCTTGATTGTTGTCCGTGATGGAACACCAACCTGAACAAAAACAGTTTTTTTCTCCGGATTCCTTTTCAGGAACAGTTCATAGCCCGAAAATCTGTTTGGAATGCCTTTGATGTAATCCACTCTGTCCACTCCCAAAAGCACGAACTTGCCCTGAAAAAGGTCCTTGTACTTCTTGATAAAACCGGCAGTTTCTTTCTTCTCAAGACAGTTCTTAAAGTGATTCGGATCAATTCCAATAGGAATTCGCTTTACCGCGATCTCTCGGTTGTCGATCTTTATTCTGCCAAATTCACATTCTATGCGCAACGGCACCCCGCGATTTGCGTCATCTCTCCCGTGCAAAGCAACGCCATCATTTCTGTACGTCTGTGACCCTGTGCACTTACACACATGTATTTCTTGTTCTATATAATTGGCAAATGTCTCTTCAGTATGCACCTTCTCTTCGTTGACCGATTCAAGCTCCGAATCTGTTTCTTGTGCTATACCCTCCGTGTTTTTGCACTCGTTGCACCTCAGGTTGCTTATTTTTGGCATATTCTCGTTCAATCTTATACATTCTATGCATGTATTGTTTGCGCCTGTGGACAGCGCCAAAACATCCTTAATTTGATTTTCTTTCGTCCTTTCTCTTTGCAGGTACGTGTCACATGTCGTACTGTTCCTCAAAGCGTCATAAATTGTTGTGATAGAATGTTTTGTAAGCCTAGCCCTGTCCATTTCATCAGCTTTAAGTTGTTTACGTCCATCTCTGTTTTCCTTGCGTTGTGCCCGACTTTCAGATCCGTGTTGTGCGCCGGCATATGCACACTCCTGACAATCACGATTAGTTTTCGCGCCACACTCTTCCCGATAATCCATTTGATTTCCCTGGCACTCCTTTACAGCCTCGCTCAAGTTCATCTTATCTACACATTTCCTGCAGACAACCGTTAGCACCTTAAGGCCCCGGTCAAGTTCTGATGATGAGCACTCCGTACAGCCGGCACTATTTGCAGCAGGTGCCTTGAACACTAACTGCCGTTTTTCTTCCTCGCTTAAATCCCTCAGCACTGCATCGCAACACTGTTTAAAATTGTACGAGTACACAAGCGTGTGAAAGGCGATCAAATCGGACCCGAGAATGCTCAAAAGAATTTCGCGATGCTCAGGCAGAAGCTTGAACGTCTCCATAGATGGAAAGGGAATATGCAAGAAAAATCCGACACGAAGCGACGGCTTCTGCCGTTTCAGGAGTGCCGGCAGCAGCATAAGATGATAATCGTGGACCCAAACAATGTCGTTGTCACCAGCATTTTCCAGCACCGTTCTGCAGAACATTTCATTGTACTCTTTGTAATATTCGTAGTTGTCATAAATCACTATGTCCGTGAAGAAATGGAACAAAGGCCACAGTATTTTATTGCAGTACCCGTCGTAGGATCTCTTGTTGAGCGCATCGGGGACAAACAGCGGAATACTTGAGTGGTTCTCGCTCAGATTTTTCTTTATTTTTTCCTGCTCGTCCTTTGTAAAGTTGCCCGGTATATTTCCAATCCACGTGAAAGGTATGCTCTTGGCGACACACACCAGACCGGTCACGAGACCGCCGCTGTTCCGGGTGTACACGAAGTCATCTTCGGTCCTTTTTATGCTTATGGGAAGTCTGTTGCTTACGATGATCAATTTCATGAAACTTATACTCCTTCAGTCGCCACTTTTATCCTCGCCAAAGACCAATGATCGCTTGTGTTGCGCTCTTAATTTAAGGAGTAACGTTTGTGATTCGTCACCATAGCCAATACCAATCATGTACGGTGTGTGCAGGCTTTTTGCTCTGCTGCTGTTGTGTCTGTTCACTGGCCGTTACGTGGGCTAAAACGGTGCCGAGCACGTGTAAAATCGGGATCAACAAACGTACCGAACAAAACGATGGAGTGCGCCGGATTAAAAATGAATGTTATGAAATGTGAGACGTGATGACTGAAATAGTTCATGATGAACGGACTGAATGACGTGTTCTTACGTACGAATACCGTGCATGCGTGGAAGTACGTTTAATAGCTAAAAGTAAAGAAATTTACACGGGACATGGGTGCAACCTGGCAATCGATTGCAAAGTATAAAAAATTACTTTATTTAGTAATTCTTCCAAAATTGTGTTAAAGGCGTTTATCATCGAATATGGTTGATGCTCCAAGAAAAAATGACGAAAACGTTCAAAATTTGTTTGGATAAGCAAATAATGATGAGTTTGAAGTGGTGGTTGGTTGATCAATTATTGAGGTGACCATAGCACTCACTTATTCTATGAAAAGCTTTCAGCACACACACTCACAGCGTATGTTAGATAATTGGGAACATCAGAAATGGTGGTTGAAGTGGCAAGTGCGGGAAAGTGAACGATAAAAGATAAAAATCAGGTAAAATAATCTTTTCAAAAGATCCGCATTTTGCATGAAATGAGCAAATCGCTGCCCCTCGTTCCCCTTGATGAGTTTTTCGCCCTGGTAACTACCACAAATATGTGTTGCTACAACCGTGTGAACAAGAACAGGCCGGTGATGTCCGGTGTATATCGCTATGACCACCAGTAAAGCAGGTAACCATGAAGAAGACCGGTCATAAAATATAAAACGGTAAGAAATGATGATTTATACGGTTAAAGACCTTCACAAACCGAACAATAAAACTTATGATTGCTTTACTTCCTCGTACCTCACCTCCATATCATCAATCCGGGAATTAAGTCCTTTCTGATCGACACCCATCCAGCTGCCATCCTCGATCTGAATATTCTCATATAACACTTTCTGGTCGCTGAGCACAGAGCAATCCACATCAACCTTATCGACTAATTCGCACTTCTTAGTCTCCAAGAAAGATACGTAGAACGAGTTGAACACCTTTTCACTCAGATGTAGCCTTATAGGCTCATGATCACGCATGATAGTAATCCGATCTCCTTTTGGCGGCTTGATCATCACCCCCATGGACGACTTGCAGCCAGCACAGTTTATCCTCAGGTTAGTTTTTTCTTTGTCATCCACGTACTTGAGGCTGTCCTCACTCACGATCACGCGATTGGCATGCACCTGACTGCATATCGAACACTTCACTTTTATGCCTACAGTTTGATCGATAAAAACGCTTTTTATGTTTGTGAAGTCGCCGTCGATGTAAATTTTGTACCTCATTGAGGGGCTGGTGCATTTTTGAAAATAACTCCATTTGCCGACTGACAGATGATTGGTCCTGGTAGCAGGGTTAAAGGGGATCATTGGCCAAAAACGTAACTGAGTTGCAAACTGGGGACAAGCACAAAGCAAATAGTGCATAAAAGACATTTATTGGTGTATGAGCACTACCATGCAGCGAAATAACTCGGAGATGACACGTGCGCAATTTTGTGCTCGTTTTGGCTGAATAATGCACACTTGTTCGCTTCTTTGATCAAAATCATGTTAATTTATCGATTCGTGACGCAGATACGAATTATGCTGCCATATTGCCATTTATTTATGGTTAGTGGCAATCACAATCACTTACAGCTTAGTTTACATCACAAACCGCTACAATACGATGTTTTGTTGACCTATTATCGTTCTTTGGCGTTTAAAGCATCGTCTGTGATTGGTTCGAATTGAGAATCTCGAAGTTCTCCATTTTTGTTTCTTAACCAAAGTGTTTCACCAGCCATAAATGAGTAAAACCGTCTAACTATTGAGATATTACACCAGAAACAATGGAAGATCTTCCCTTTTATGTTCTATAGCAGTGCTAGGCGCGCACATTTTTGTCTTTACCACTTTTTGCCCATCAGCGGCGCATCCCCATGATTAATAAATCAGAAGATCCGATCGAAAAACTCACAGCAATGATTGATGGTGCAGATTTTACGAGGTACAACGAAGAAATAGAGAAGAACCCTCTCGAGAGGCACATAAATACTCCATTTTTCAGGAATAACGCTCTTCTCATCCAAAAATTAGACGAGCTGTATAGATCGACAGGTGATGAGAACGTGCTGTTCCTGATGCATGCGAAGAATATTTCGCAATTTCACTATTCGTACTACAAAAATTTTGCAGATTATTTTGTTAAAGTGCATAACCACGGAGCAGCTGATTACATCCTGAGAAAAGGCATCAGAATGGACTGCTACCGCAAACAGATACTGGCAGATATGCTTAAGGGCCTGCCCGCCACGTGTTCCGTTGCCGGCGAGAACATAAAAAAAGTATTTAGAAGAAAGTCAATAATTCTGTTCGGTAGAGAGTGGGTGAACCGCGACCAAAACTATGTTTTTGATTCGGTTGTGCATTTTGATGGACAATGCTACGGATTAATGGAACGGAAAGCTTGTGATTATGTAAAAGACCTAGGTGCCCGGCACACTTTATAAGATTGGTTGATAAGATGCCTGCTTGTACATGTTACGAATAAATAAAGCTTTTTCTTTTCTGCACCTGCTCCGTCATTATTTAGCAATTCAGTTGACTGAGGTACGCTCCTTTATCATCACCGACCACGACCGGTAAATTTACACTAGATTTGAAACATCCATCGTTGCGAATCAGGCCCTCCCTCCCACTGCAAAAATATGACGGTCCACAATCAGCACGAAGTGCCTGATACCCGGTAATGGCGTGTATGTTAGATTTGGGGTATACCAATTCTGGGAAATGCCATGGTAAACGTATTGGTGCAATAGACCCGTGATATCAGATAAACGATGATGTTACGCTAAAATACCCCCTTGTGTCAGGCAGGAACGTAAATAAACCACTTTTGGTGAAAAACACCCCCATGTCTACGTTAAACAAAATGCCTTCCATAAATAATTTGTTTACCATCAATCTAAGCTTGTGCTTTGGTTGAGCGGTTCTCGCTGAACCTATTTCAACCCTAATCACCCAACCGCTCTTAATTGTGGGTAGATGCAATAATTACGTGGTTGCTACTGCAATTGCAACGAATTGTGAATTTGCCTTTGCCTCGTAGCTGAGCATACGATAGGCCAAGGTCGCAGATAGCGGACACACCTACCGATTTATACCAACGATACGCCGTTCATCAACAGGGAAGACGTTCTTGCGTGGGAGTGCATCAAATAAATTTGGCAAAAAGTACGCACCAAGTGGATGAAACATCTTTACTAAAGCATCAGATTCTCAAAGAATCGTGAAAATATGTTGCCGTACAGCACTGAACCTCTCATATCCTTGTGGAACGTGGCAACCAGAAGAAGCATGTTGAAGCAGAATATCAAACTTTCAACATACAAGGTAAGAATGGATGAGGAAATTATGGCAAAGTAGAAATAAAGTATGTGCGTAACTGCCAAACATATCACCACCTTGAGCATCACCTCCTCACCAACCTTAAATATATAAGCACATAGCACGTTTGAAAACGTGAGGAACAGCAGCGGCACCAAATTCAGTGCTGATTTGCGTATCCTGCGCTGCAGCTTCTCAACTTCTAGGATCCTTGAGATTCGGCTGATGATAAACACCGAAACTATTGTCATGAAGTTGCCGAGCGCCATGATGTGGAAACAAAGTGTTTTGTCATCGTACATTTCGAGCGTGGACTTGAAAAAAGATATCAGAGGTTGCAAATATGGACCAAAAAAAAGCATGCTGGACACGGTGAATGCTAGGAATATGGTTACGGGTGTAAAAAGCAGCTCCTTGAATTTCATTCTTGGGGTATCGATTTTCGTCATTGATAAATCGTTCAACCATGGCGAGTAGCGGGTGATGTGTCCATCATGGATGGAAATTCTTGTGTATGTGATAGGAATGCGTTCCAATACCGGTCTGCTCTGGTTATAACCCGTGGTTTTTGAAGCGTAAACCGACTTGCGTTCCAATACCGGTCTGCTCTGGTTATAACTCGTGGTTTTTGAAGCGAAACCGACTTGCGTTCCAATACCGGTCTGCTCTGGTTATAACTCGTGGTTTTTGAAGCGAAACCGACTTGCGTTCGTGTACGGTACACTACGTTTCGTAGTGTTGTACACACGTTCAGATCACGATTTCACTGCTGAGATCGGTTGCGCAGATCTTACAAACTCGATATGAAAATGAATGCACTGCTCGTTCGTAACAAACATGTTTAATTGCCAATGTTGTACGTTTCATCCTACATCTGTGCGATTTACCTGGTGCGTTATAGCCTGCCGTTGTGTACCTGGGCAATCGCATTGCCATGTCAGACGAGGAGGTAGTAAAATATGTACAAGCAAACAAGATACACCGGCACAATGCGTCTACTCACGGATGCATGGCAGCTTGCAATTCGGACAGTGCTAAACGTTGATGATATTTCAGCTAAGATACCATTAACACGCCCATGTTTGCTTTGAAATGTTCATCCGGCAGTGAAGAGCGTCAGTTTATCCGTACTGGTAGGAATTCTCTATTTATTCAGTGCATAGCAACGTATAGCCAACAAAAAGACATCGTGTCCGTGTGTCCTTTGCGTTGCGGCAAAACAAGACCAAAAGAATTTGGTTGAAAATATGATGAGGAAGTGTAAAAAAGCTATGATCCTACCGCACGCACCAATATTTACCGAAATGTTTTGAAATAGATTACAACCAGCTTTTTAAGGAACATCTTTCAAATGCTGCGTGCCAAATTGCAGTATTCTGGTACTATTGCCGCCATGGTGCCGTATACATGCAATCCTTTCGACGTATAAATGTAAATTGCTGTTATTATTTGGACCGTGGCTATGGAATAGCAAAAGAATAAGTTTGACCTGCAATTATGGAGAAGAGCTAAATATTTTGAACAGTACCGAACAGATCTGCGAACCTGTAGATAATATAGGTACGAACTACTAAGCAGATATTGAGAGTAGCGCTTGAAAATAAATACATAATCAAAACAAAAGAACATATCGTAATTGCCATGTCATTTACAGCCGCTGTTGCGTTGCTATATTTGCCAAATTTTGATGGTAAGTGCGATTATATTAAACAACCAAACTTGATTGCGAGATGACTGCCTTATCAGGTCATTTCTGTGATATATGTTTTGATTATGATTAATTCGATGTTTAGCGAATCGCTTGCATCAATAGATACGAATTTCACTCCGATGAACACACAGGAGAAACGTAAACGTAAATTTATGGAAAAAGCGTATGAATACTTTGTTACCTATTATTTAGGTATTTGCAGGTAACACCATGCAGTACGGCTAAAAGAACGAATACGTTAAAATTATACCTTGAAGATCTCGTAACATTCGTTTGTACATTTCGTACCAGCAATATCATGCAGTGCACAATAAAACCGCTTTTTTATTCAAGTTTTGGACACTGCTGCAGTTTAAAGAGAACATTTCATTTAATAGTGGCACGAATAACAAACAATTTAGATATAACAATGCTCTAACTTGTTCTACATCTCTTACCTGTAATGATATTGATCTTGTACCAGGCACAGAATATGCAATTCAACAGCATGCTAGATCAAATACAGCAGCTATGTAACTTCTATTCGTACGTATCTTTCCGTTCAACACCATTTTCGTGCGGTATTCCTGAAGGGCCATCTAGAAAGTATAAAATCTGGAAATAAATTCTACACACTGCTATATGACGTTGCCTTGAAATAATGCTTTCGATAAGATACTTTGTCTAATTAAATGTGCAGTAATCGGTGATAAAATCCATTTTGGATGCATTCACATGATAAATGTGATTCTTTTACATTATCATAAGTAGTAACTGCATAAGGCACAAAACCACGCTTGAACATTTATACTATCCTGTTGGTTATTTAACAAAAAATTAATACTTGAACACCTGAAAGTGCTATTTTTTGGAAAAGTATAAAAATACGAACCTTATGATAAATTGTACATAAATTCTATCAAAGATAAAAACTAGCATTTTACATCAATTCTAATATATGTTACGATATGCGGTCATTTATTGACGACAACGTAGATATATGACTGATCAAGTGATAAAGACATATATCACGAGATACGTGGCAATTTTCTGATTGTAAAACTATATAAACGAACCATAAACCACTATCATGCTGTTTTTTACATCAAGTATTCTGGCATTAATTGCATTTGTATGCGCCAATTACGAACGAGTTCTCCTCATTCCCAAGAAATGCAATGAAGATCCGGGTGAAATTTGTAAGCTGAATGGAAAAATGGGTGTTATGGCAACCGCACGTAATCTGCCGCTTCTAATCAACCTTTTGCAAAGAAACAAGATCGATGCAGCTGCTGTGTCTGGTTGGAATGGCACTTCTGGGAATTTTGTTCTGCGGTCTAATGGTGCTCTTGCACCTTACGAGCCGTTGACTAATCAAGCAAGTTATGCCTTTTGCTATGGATCGTGTTCGTTGGGTTATTCTGATAAAATGTCGGCTCAACCGGCGTATGTGGCTTACCACCAGCGAAACAAAGAATCGACTGGCGGTTATGGACGCTATCAAGCTTACGAAAAACCATGGGCTTCATCTTACAATGAGTATAGCAAAGCATCAGGTGTTTATAATGAGCCATGCATTCCGATCTGTCCACCGTATGAGAGAGAACCATGCATTCCGATCTGCCCGCCATACAACAAAGAGCCATGCATTCCGATCTGTCCGCCTTACCAGCCTTATGAGCCATGCATTCCGATCTGTCCACCGTATAACAAGGAGCCATGCATTCCGATCTGTCCGCCTTACCAGCCTTATGAGCCATGCATTCCGATCTGTCCACCGTACAACAAAGAGCCATGCATTCCGATCTGCCCACCATACAACAAGGAGCCATGCATTCCGATCTGTCCACCATACAACAAAGAGCCATGCATTCCGATCTGTCCGCCTTACCAGCCTTATGAGCCCTGTATACCAATTTGTCCACCTTATCAGCCTTACGAACCTTGTATACCAATTTGTCCACCTTACCCATATCCACCTTACCCGTTCCCACCATACATTCCGGAAAAGATTCCAAAAATACCATGTCCATGGGAGAGACCATTTCCCCTCAAAAAGAAATGTAAAAGATTTCCGCAACGTGAAAAAATGGTTAGTTACAATCCTATCCAGCCAACCAAAGGAGATACTGTCTCTTTTACCCAGGAATGTATTTCTACAGAGAAAAAATACGTAATTGATGAAGAGGACCTTGGAACTGACCAAAGAGTGAAAGTTACGGAAATTACCGATGTAGAATCTGAGAGAACTAGGTTGCTGCTGCTCGCTTCGTTCCAATCAGGAGGACCAACACTTGATGTGCCGTTTATCCTACGATTCCCGAAGATACTGCTTGCACTAAAGAACTATCTGCAGACCACGCTAAAAGCACACAGTCCTTGTCTTTATACGAACAAAAATGGAGATATCTTTGTGATACTGAATAACGTGCTGAATAGAGTTGATTTCGGTAAAAAACCTGGTGTAGTCCCGGCAATGCCATTGGTTCCTTCGTTCCGTGTGCCTCGACCGCTGAATGCAGTCGCTGCACCACCATCACCGAAACCTGCACCGATAGTACCAATCAAATACGAATTTACACCAATTACAGGATCGGCATTGACATCTCTGGTCCAAATGGGGTTGTATAGTATCATGTTCACGAATACGATCACACAGATGTAATCGACAGTAAATAAAGTACCTTTGGAAAAAAATGTTTTTGATATGCAGATATGGTCGTCTTGTCCAAAGATTGTCTTAGCAGTTTGTTATATATCAACATTATGGATACACCTATATCTACTTAGATATTCTCAACAGTTAAAGACCCATTTTATGTTCTAAATACGTCATCTGGAAACATGAGCAGTAACTTGATTCAATATTGATTATTTTTGAACTTTCCACAGTATAAATTACCTTTTTTCATCAAAGTACGTTTATTTGCCTTCTGACACAGTAACATCATTTTAACACATTTTCTGGTCCACTTGAACCGATTTTGGCCCTAGCTTTTGGTCCACAGGAAATCCTGCGCTCACCACTGTGCAAGCCCATATCAGACTGGATCCGGTATTTTCCAACAGAAATGCCCGTGGGCAGTGCGTACGCTTCCATAAATTCTATTCAAAAACGAGGGCGTCGCAATGGACATAAAAATTTCCATCGAAATTTACTCCTAAGTCGCACATAATGAGTATTACGCATGTCAGACGAGAACTCAACGATGCCAGTTAATGTACAGCTTCAGCTACAAAATAGGGTTATTTTCCCAACAGATCGTGGTTTAGTACACATATTTTTATACAATTTCCATAATTAGTCTTCTTACACCAATTTTACCGTTTAAGACATATTAATGACACTTTTACGGGCTTATTTACGTAGATTTTCGCAAAAATTTGCACTGAACGTGATATGCACGAATAATGGTGCTATAAAAGGAGATTACAAAGTTTTTTGTTAAATTTACCACTCAGCAGGCATTTTTGTGGAGATATCATAGGAGAAGGGTTGCTGTTAAGCAACAAAAACTACTACGCCCGTTACAATCTGCCAGTGTGTAAGACTGTCCATTGTCGTTTATGAAATGAACGCAATAAGTTACAGATTGCTGGCATCTCGATATCGATTGTAAATACAAATCAATGAAATATTGCGTCAATCACGGTTCTTCGGTGCATTGTAAACAGCTATTTAATAAAAGTTTCGAATCTTTTTGTGTATTCTAAATTATTGTTAATATGATGCTCTGAAATTCTTTACATTGGTACTCAGTCTGAGTTTACAACTTAGTTGCCTTTACTTTTGGCAATGAGTAGTCTCGTGTGCGTGGTATCTTCGTTCGTAATTGCGGTGTAATTTGAGAGGACTGAAAAGTTTGCAAACAGATATTATCTGCTTTATTCTTGTTATACTTCTACATCTTGATAAGAGTCAATAATTAATCCTCATTCAATCTTGATTATAGCTTTTTAATTAACAATTTTTAATGACGAGCACATACTCGTGAACATGAACAAAAAATTGGCTTTCAAAGGCAGTTTACGGCACTTCAATGCCTAATGCATGAGATATCCTGTTTTTTTGTCAGCACATAATGGAATTTCTAATCGTGATCATTCATAATAAATCACACAATTTAAGTTTGACACAATCGAACAAAACAGTACTGCGATCGGTAATTTTTTGCAAATGCTTGGCACATACGTGCCCGTCACATTCACAGCAATTAATTTATCTGCCACGAATAATCTATCCATGATAAACAAAGACACACCATTGATTTTCATTAAACAAATTGTCACAAATTAAAATTAAAATATAAAATTAAACAATTATTTAAATAAAATTACTCGGTTATGTTGAATTTTAACAAGAACACCGATAGTATAATCGAAGATGGTACCAAGCGCTTGCAAAAGAACAAGCTGCCATACTATGAAAGAAAGAAAATAGAGCTTTACAAAACCGAAATTTGCAGAAGCTACGAGGAAAATGGTTATTGTCGTTACAATGAAAAGTGCCAATTCGCGCATTCATTGGGTGAATTAAGGAAGATAGACAGACATCCAAGATACAAGACAGAGATATGTAAAACATACTGGGAAGAAGGAACGTGTCCCTACGGCAAGAGATGTTGTTTTATACACAAAGAGAACATTGTTAAGGATCGGGATATAGAAATTAATACGATTAGTATGAGTGAGGAAATGGACACCGTGAAGGAGAAGTCTAAAATTAGGGACTTGAAACCTTTTTACTATAAACCCAACGATTATTTCGACAATAGTTTGCTGTATGTTAGAATAGATAACACTTTTAAAGATGATGAAAAGATTCCAGGCGCTTTTTTTGTTCCAAAATATGATAAGAAGATCGCAAAATTTGTTCTTGATCATCTAGACTTGTAAATAAACATCAGTTATTTTTGAATGTTCTCTATGTTGTCCGCATTCTATTTCGCATGTTGTGCATATTCTACAGGCATATCAATGTGTCATCTGGAATAGATCAATGCGAAAGATTGCTTCGCATGTTTTTGGCCTGTATAGCCTAGCCTGTCTCCATTTACAAACATATATGTATGTTGCTGCTACTAGAGATGTTTATAAGTATCAAGATTGAATAACAAATGGTTTTCATCGCTTTTTGAATACGTGCTCAAAAATAGTTGTGGCAGAACGAATTTCCTCTTTTGTATAAATTATTTGTTGTTTATGGTTATCTTCTTTGTAAGTTAATTTTTGTTGTATTTTTAGTGATCCACTTTGAATTACAGATTTACACATCTCCTGTTCAATTGATAAGTCAATATCGTGTATCGTAGCTGTAAAAAATCATATTTTGGTTCGAAATGCTATGAACCTGCCAATTGGTCGAAGATCACCATATATGATCGATATTGTATAATTTTAAGCTGGTAAAAATACATACACCGCATAATTCGGTGTAGTATTCGCTAACACTGGTAGTGTCCCGTGTAAAGTGTTGCCCGCTAGCATAATTTACAATTATTTGCAACTATTTTTAATAATAATGATTGTTAAAGCGTAATTATACCGTAACACTATCACTGATTTATTAGAAAATTTGTATTAAACCGTGAAATTGCGTTACTGTGAAGAACAGATGAATCATAAAAGTAACACGCAAGTAAATTCAACACAGCGCTATTTAGATAACCGGAAAATAAAGGTAAATTGTGCTTTATTGTGCTTATCATAGTACAGGATGTAGGGCACGTACTGTTTAGTAATCGCAGAAATCGATGGTTTTGAGCTAAAAAGTTGTTTACAACGTGTTATCTTGTTATGTGGTAAATTATATTTCAATACACTTCAAGGTAACGATGCCTATGATCTAAACTCTTCTAGTACCACGGTTTTGGTCATTGAATGATCGCTTTGCCATCTACAATCAAGCACCGGGTCGTGTTCGTGTAATATTAGATATTTTGTTATAAAATGGGATAAATTGCGATGCCACACACCACAATTACACAGTTAGTCGTTCTATAGCCTCAAAACGTTCGCGGATAGAACAAAGCTCTTGTGCTCAATTTATCAGGCCTAAAGACTCGTGCATCCAAGGCTGCACCGATCGGGAATAAATTAAACGAAAAATTTTTAAATAATTTATGGTAAAACATTTGAACTAAAATTGTTTAAGATTTCTATAATAGGAATAATACTAATATCTGGTACATCCCTAATTTAAAAAATTTGAAAGCAAGCCATGAATATCAATAAAAACAGTCCAATAATGGAAACAGCATCTACCATTCGCATTTCTTATTCCCTAGTGTCTATTCATCAGAACAATTCTAGGAAGATCTTGGAGTGAACGGCACAATCGGTTAATTCATCATTTTATGATAGTTGTTGATGGGTATAATGATTTTACTGAAGTAACAGAGCTTTTCTGAATCCGTTTAAAAGAATGTAAGACCTCACATTACATTGTCGTACTCAGGAGCTTTTGACGTGTATAGAGATATTTTATAGTTTTACTCTTGATCATATTTGATCAGTCTGTTCAGCAACGTGGTAAACAATATAAGGTTCAAAATCCGCCAACCAACTTGCTCTTCGTAAAAATAAGCCGATTGCGCACTATCACGCTCAACGGTACGAATGCGGTATTGGCAATAGACTCTGTAGTACTGCAAATCTGAGTAATGAGACGACAATGAACGAATATCATACAACCTTTGTGCATGGCCTGCAAACAGTAGGTTACAATGATATTTTCAGGATGGATGTATTGATGTGCAATAGAAAATTTTATAATACTTGAAAGGATAGCAGTGAAACAATATAACAGGAATCTTCGTACGCAAAATTCCGAGAATAAATAACAATGATTAGACTATTACACTTCTCAAATTCTATAAGAAGTGTGTATGTTCTCTTTTACTTCCGTATAAAACGCCACATGAGCATGTCATCTGATTTGTTCATTCCAAAGTAACGCGCGAAGATTCATCTACACGAACAGAAGTTGGTATCAACCTATGACCATTGTAATCGCTAAGATGACAAACGTTGCAAAATAGGTTGGCAATTTCCTTATCGCTGCAGTAACAGTGGGTGTAAACAGATGAGAGGAACAAAATAAGAATCCGTTAACGTAGTTGAAATATACCAAGCCACTGGTCTACAAATACATTAATAATTTTAACAAAAATAATTAAAGGCTCACATGTTAGTGTCAGGGACCATATTAGGTGGAATACGTCACGAAACCTGCAAAAGCAAAAAAAGAGGCTGCGCATGCAGAAGACAAAAAAAAATACAAAACGGTCAACATATCAACACCTGTCCTTAGAAATCCTGAATGCTTATTATGAATTGTTTTCTAAGTATTACAAAATGAGGAATATCGCTGAATCTTTTTATTTTTAGCATTTCCATGCAGTTATTCCAGAGAATGGGCATGTTTGGTAGGAAAAAATAGTAATTTATTATGTTATTGACATGATTTCTCGTTGATGCAGGACTGTTCGCAATGCTGGCATTTAAGCTGATTGTATCTTCATAGGTATCACGTAATCATCGTTGATTGGTATGAATAAACTGCTCTCATATGTTGCTATCTCGCGATGTTGTACTGCCGCTATTGCTTCTTCTATTTACTGCTGCATTCTGCATGACATTGCTTATTTTTGTCATAGGTTTGCCTTTAAGCCAGTCTTTGTGTATTTTCCCCTTTTAATATGGCATATCAGGCGATAAAAAAAGACAGCAGGCAAAGATATTATCATAAATGATCGTATATTGACGTTCTCACAGATGAAAATATCTAAATTGGCAAGAACGTAACATAATAATCAACACAATACCACATTTTCGTGAATGATATTGTTGCAGCACATATTCGGTAAAACTACCCATATATCACCAAAATAGATAGAATCGAACTGTCTTTCGTGCAAGGTCAATGTATAATAAAGCATACGTTCCTTACAAAACTTATTTCGTTATCTTGTGTAATTAAAGTAATTCTGACACATGTAGTGCTACTGTGAACTGCTTACCCATGCCGGGTTAACAATCAGAAATAATTAGCTTATTCCATGGCAACACATAGCGTGGTTAGTGCACATGTGATAATTACAGTTTGCTAACAATTTTATACCTAAATACGTTATAAAGATGGTACTTAGAAGCGCTTTAAATTAATATGAAAGGTATGCTAATCGCTGTATAGCTGTCATTTCTTACCAATCGATACATTACCAAACAATGATGTCATACCTATCAGTGTTCAGAGTGTATCAATCCATGATTATACAATACTCGTTCGTACTGATAAAATATGAAATACTCTAAAGAACCAAAGAGTTAATGCACCAAACCAACATTAAAATATTTTATATCCAACGAACGGGGGATGAACACTTCGTTTAATCCCGGTAATTTGAATTTGAAGAACTGTAATTCTAAACTAGACTTTAAGTACCATAGTATGATATTTTGTGGTAAACAACTCTATGATCAGTTATGAATGTGGGTGTGCACTTGTGTCATGCATATCGAGATCCTGCTTGATATACTATGTGTAAGGTAAAGCCTTACACTTAAAATAATACCATATTTAATCAGTAAAATTAATCTATATAGCACGATAGTACGTATAAATTACATTATATCACCATTGTTCGCCACTAATATTTCGAACTCTTATTAATGACAGGTAATTCGTCAAATTTTGGCAAATTTAGTGATTTTCCATTCATGTGATATTTGCTATGCATTTTCTTCTTCAACGAAGAAGGTTCGCTTAGCGTCGCTACACATATTCATAGTCGTGCCTTGGCACCATAGGAATATAAAATATACTTAAAGCTGTGTTATTCATATTCATTTATTCACCCTTTTCTGGTACTTATGTTCCTTTTTGCCTCCTTTTTGTTTTTTAATATTTTTTTGCTCAGCCCATCAGTAGGATGGCATCAAGAAAAATTCGAGGTCGGGCACCGACTAAGAAATTGAGCAAGGAACAGGATGATGATAAGAAGGATGGGAGTAGCGAGCACGGGAGGGATGCTGTTGAAATTGTAAACATGGAAAAGGGTTCCCAACAAACGAAAGATCGGGGTAAGAACAGGGTCACCGATGAAGCAGCGAGTGAAGATGTGATGAAGAAAGGGACAAGGACAAAGGTGAATTTGAAGAAGAGTATGGGAAAGACTGACCAGGAACAGAACAAGACAGTCGGAGAAGGTCGTGATCGGGAGGGAAAAGAAAGGACAAAAAAGAAGGTGTTAAACAGAGACAGCGCAAAGGTAAAAAATATGGAAAATCGGGACAGGGTAAAAGATGAGAAATCAAAAAGTAAAAAGGATGTGCCTGAGAAGAAAGGGATCAGCACGAAAGCAAGCATAAAAATAACAGGTAAAAAAGCGAAAAGAGAAAATGATCAGGAAGGGAAGATTAAAGAAATAGTTGAGAAAGATGATAAGCAGCGCAATGAGGTCAAAAGGAAGAAAAGGGAGCAAAAGACAGAAACGGATAATAGGAGAGATACCGAGAAACAAACTAAAATAGAGGCAAAAAAAGTAGCGAAGATTGAACGGGCTGCTGACAAAACGAAGAGAAAGACAGGAGGAAGTAAAAAAGGTGATAAACGAGATGTAGGTGGAATAATAATAAGAAATGAAACTCGAGGTAGGAAGAAAAAAGCAGAGGAAACGAGTGACATAGTTAATGAAGAGAAGGAGTTAACTACGGAAGAAAGTACAACAAGTGGGAAAGATGAATTGGCAAATGACAAAGTGAAAAAGACAAGGAATGCGGACGAGAAATCAAAAAAAAATAAGGACGAAGATGTTGAAACAAAAGTGAAAAATGGTAAAAAACGTGCTGGAAAAAAGGTGAAACCGGTAAAAGAGAAAGTACTAGAAAGTAAGCAAAAAAAGCGAAATACAAAAGAGGCAGATGACAGGGAAACACAACATCCCAGTATTTCGTTAAGTAAAAGGGTGAGAAGAGGTTTTGAAAGTAAAGATGCTACTCGAGGAACAGATGAGGGATTATCAGAGAAAAAAAAAGAGCAAGAGCAAACGGGCAAAAAGAGGAAAGAAAAAAAGGTTGCGGGTTTACTGGAAAAAGTCGAGGACCAAAAAATGGTGGTAAAGAAAAAGGAGGACAGGCATTATAAGCCTGAAGAGCTTGTCGATCAGAAGACAGCAACCAAAAAGAAGGATGGAAAAAAGGTTGCGGGTTTACTGGAAAAAGTCGAGGACCAAAAAATGGTGGTAAAGAAAAAGGAGGACAGGCATTATAAGCCTGAAGAGCTTGTCGATCAGAAGACAGCAACCAAAAAGAAGGATGGAAAAAAGGTTGTGGGTTTACTGGAAAAATCTAAGGATCAGAAAATGATTATTAGTTCGACTGAAACTAAAAAAAGTAGTTCAATAGATAATACGGTGAGGAAAAATGATCAAACAACAAATGTTAGTGACGGTAGTAGACAGAAGAGATCACCTCATTCAGTTAAAGCAAAGAAGATTCCTGCAAAAAATTCTGAAGATGCTGTAAAAGCTATCGATAAGAACGAAGAAGAGGCTATCGATGTGTCTGTAGCGCCAGAGAACAACATTTTCAAAGGTATTGAACCAAAAAAAGAGGATGATAAGAGTGACTTGCTTATCACCAAGGCATTGGAAAAAATATGCCAACACAAGGATATTGAAGTTAAGAACGTAGTTTTCAACGTATATGCCAAGATGTACCCTTTTAATGGTGAAACTTACACAGATCCGCTGGAAGGCACCCTGTTGGTAAGCCAAGAGCCCCTAAGATTGATCTTCGTGAGGAAGGGAATAAAGCAGGTAATGTTTGACAGTGTTATAAATTACGATACTAAAGCTATTCTGAAGGATAGCAGAGTAACATTCGGTGTAATTTATGAAGATAAAGAAAAGAAGTTGGATTTGTACGCAGCCAAGTTCTTTAAAGGAGAGGATGCCACAAGGTTTTACGAGTTAATAGCCAAAATAGGCTGATCTATCTGTGTTTGTACCTTCATTAAAGGAGCAAGTGAATATTAATAAGATTTTGATGTTCTCGTTTTCATGCTACTGCATATTTTTAATACCCATCAGGCCGACCATCTCGCTAGCAGTTGATGGTCTGCTAGTAGAATTCATATTGTATCACTTAATGTTTGTGTGAGCGATACTTAGCGTAAAATTCGCTTGCTTGTGCGTCTTAATAAAGAGCGTATTAAATAGAAAAACTAAGATAAAGCATCGTATTTCGATCAAATGTTCTCTTTTTCATCCGTTGCGTCTATTATATTTTCTCAGCAAGAGTGTATTTGAGGAGATCACTTTTTATCTCACTGCAAGGTCGAAAACCATGCCTTCTAGGTCGGACAGGTTGATCTTAGCCATGGCTCTTGGTTCATAAGGAAACCAGGTGTATCAACTTATATAACAATTCAAAAAACACCTGAAAAACATGGAAAGTCTTTTTTATCACTTCATGATTGGCTTTGACAGAATTTATCTTTCCGGACCTTTCATTATAGTAGTCTTGAAGACCTTCGGTACTTCGTGATATGGATTCAGTCTCAAATTCTAAAATGTCCTGATGGCCGAGACCTTCTACAAGCCTTAACCGCACCATTTGGTGGTAGCAAGGGACTGTATCCTGTGTGAATATTACCGCTACCCGCTTGTAGCCGATGTTTTAACATTGTTCACTCTTAAAACTCATCTTTTGCTAATATACTCCTGTTAATTTAGTGATCTAAGTCTATCTTAGACCTAAAAGTTTACTGAAACTGAATATATTTCGAACAAAATCAAAATTATATCTTTAAAATTTTTACAAGTTCGTCTTTCGAGAAGGATCGGACTTTTGGCTTCCCCAAAGTACCGAAATACCTTTCATTGTGTTGTGTATATCCCTGTCAATGTAAATTATTCAATACTTGATCAAAAACGGTCTGCTGCAAGCAAGCTATAAAGCCAAGTTAAATATGAGTGGTTTGTTATGAACAGCCATAATCACCATGATCTTGATGACAGCATCGCATTCATTAGGAGTTAACAAGAAAAATCTGCGAATCAAAACTGTAAACAATGATAACATAAGATATAAAGCAGGCATTACAGTGTAATCGAGTTGATTGGTCATAACTTTGCGACAAATTCGCTACATAATCATTATTTTCCTTCAAAATGGTATGTTATAGGTAAAAAAGTAGGAAATGCAAAATTGAAGCTAAACAAGTGATATCATGTGAGATTCAGCATCGACATTAATATACAATAATAGCCATTAGAGCGCTGAATAATACATATGGGTCTGAAACCAACCTTCCATTCACGAAAGAACAAGATTAACCCTGTTGCAGAAGAACCTGTGAGAATGTTCTGGCGGTTCTTCGGGTTGTCATATCAGATAAGTGTGCTGGCAAAGTACAGGTTCAAGGAATAAGAAATATTGACTTGCAAGTAGCAAGCAGAGAATAACGACATCTATAAAGGATGTGGTGCCTCTACAATTGTTAGACAATATGCGACATGGCTTTTAGAGGATTTCTCCCATTTTGATATCAGAAATTGACATACATCATCATAAATCAAATATTACACCTCAAAATGAAATAATCTCTTTGGACTAACAGCTTTTGAAGTGTAATCGTGTCAGTTTCTATCTGAAAAAAGATTTTTTTTGTGTAACATGTTCTAGCGAGAAAATACAAAACTTCATAATTAACTTTTAATCATACTCATTAACTGATTTTTATTCAGATCAGTTGTAATCACGTGGGTCAACAGATATTTCCACATCCTGGTTCAAAATTTTGATCTCTTTCACAGAACAGAAATCGATATATTGCGAAAGCAGATTCAACAGTTGGCTATAATACTCCTCTATCTCCCAGGTCTTACAAATTTTCACCCATATCTCGCGATTTACTTGCATAATGACTAATTTTCTTACTTTTATCTTTTTAGGAATTAACAGATTGCAATCTGGATGTTTCGCCGAAGGCATGATTTCTAACACGTCAACTTCCTCTGGCAAAGACATAGACCTCGCTATTTTTACAAAAAAAAGATAGTGTAATTTTAAATTCTTTAGATGCCTACGTTTTGAACTAACTACCCCAAAAACTGTTTGTACACTTTCAACGACATCGCGTTCAAGGATTGCATTGCATTGAATCGGCATCAAAGAACAATTTACGAGGCTAAATGGCAAACAATAAAATATATCCTTCTGTATGTTTTGTGCCATAATAGAAAGTGTTTTTAGCGATACAAACTTTCTTAGCTGTTCTAAACATTTGCCACTAATCTGAAAGGCTATTATGCTTAGATTCTGTATGTTTTTACGCTTCTCCCAGCAGAAAATTGGATTACATCTGGCGCTAAAATCTTTAAAACATACATGTGGAGATCGACACCGAGAAGTACAACTTTCTTGGTTGATCATTGCCCTCAACTCGTTCAGTTCCCATGGTGCCATTTCTTTTTCAGGAATGGTTGATGTATCTCTTCCTATCCAATCATGCAGCTCGCACACAGTGTTATACAAAATTACTTCCTTAACATTGATACAGTTCAATAGCAAAAACATAAAATACTCTTTGTTTCCATCGTATGATATTTCAAGACTTGCAACATTTGTTAAGTCTAGAAATTCGATATTGATTGAACTTTGCCCAGTGATAAGCAATTTAAACTTTCTTAACTGCTTAACCTTGGATAAATCAAAAGATCCTTTGGAAAAAATTATAGCAACATTTCGACAACCCCCATTGACTACCAGTAAAGTGTCTTTAGGGACACTGACATGTTCAAGTACGATATCTTCGATGCAATTAGGAAGCTCCAGTCTCTTTTTTTTGCGATGTATCTGTACAATCCTTATATTTAGCAGAAAATCTCCACAAGTTACCTTCGCAAACAGGCAAGCAATTAAAAAAGA